AACCTAGTATGACAACAACCCCAAAGTGAAACACAGGGTAGGCTTTTCTGGCTGATGTTCTGACAGCAGCTCTAGCATTTTCAGTGTTACACTCTGGAGATGCACTAATCTGATCTAGGACTAACCCACATGGTCCAAGAACTCCTGAACCAAAAAGAAAAGAGAGGACGGGTGTGGAGAAGGGAGTGGGGCAGTGCTGGCGAGCCGCACTCCTTAGTTTTTTTCCGTCTTGCTAAAAGGAAAACTCAAAGGAGATGAACAGCCAGAGCCAAGAAATTGATTTCACATCCCCTTTCCAGAGCTGGTTCTGGGGGGAAATGCCTTGGCTTGAAAGTCTAAGCCCTCTGCTCTTGTCAGGAGGACGATGGTAAATGCGTAACTCAACTGCGGCACACTCCACAAGTTAATTTACTCCAATTTTCACGGACAGTTATCCCAATCCCATCTCTATCCCATCTATTGATCATCCGACCCCGCCCCCCTCAATCACAGAGCAATCTCATGTCATTTTCTTGGTAGGTAGAGGGCACATGTTTCCCAGGAAACAGCTGCTGGGGAGGAGCAGCACAGGTGTGCTTAGGGCTCAAACGATTCCCTTCAAGCCCCTGTTCATCCCCAGGCCAGACCTGAACTCAACCTAATGTTCAGTTCAACCTGAACTCAAACGTTGGCATGAATCAGAATCATCTGGAGGGTTGTTTTTGTTTAAGAACAGAGAGCTGGGCCCCAACCTCTGAAGTATCTGATCTGCTGGGGGCTGGAATGGGCCTGGGAGTCTGCATTTCAAGCGAGCTCCCAGGGGATGCTGCTATTTCAGGAACTAGACTAAGAAGCAGTGTGCTAGCTCACTCCATGACCACGTGGTACGGGGATTCCTGACACTCTAAAGGCACTCTTTCCAAGATAAAGGCCCATGACATCCATCAGGAGGGTACCTGACCCACCCAAACTTAAGAATCACTAGCCTACACTTAGAGGCCACTGATAAGGAGATGCTACTGGGGCAAGTCAGCCACAGACAGGGTCAACTTCAACATCAAGGGTAATCCCAACCTTGCTAACAAGTTCAGAAATACTTATTGAGTACTCTGGAAGCTCCCAATTTCTCCTAACAGCTGACTGCTGCATCTTTATTTTGACCACACTTCACAGGATTATAGTTTGCTGACCAGGGATCAAACCTGTGCCCCCTGCATTGAAAGCACCCAGTCTTAACCAGTGGACCACCAGGGAAGTCCCCTGACCCTTGCATCTTAACACCTGTCCCCTCCCTTTGGCAGGACTCCTTTTCCTTATTTGCAAGGTAACAGCAATAGAACTGGAGGAGAAAATGGCAACCCACTCTCAGTATTCTTGCCTGGAAAATCCCATGGACAGAGGAGCCTGGCGGGGTACAGTCCAGGGGGGAGCAGAGGATGCGACACAACTGAGTGACTGAGTACAGCAAGAGACAGACTCCATGTGAGTTCCACAGGCGCCTCATACCATCTCCACCAACTCCTGTAACCTTCTAGGCTAGCCCTAGGTGGGCAAACAGTGTCTCTTGAAAGAATCTTATCCCTGCTTGGGCACTAGGGACAGGAGGCAGGTGCCACTTTGCAAGGCTGAGGGGACCACACCTGCCAGATAGTCCTGGCCCCAGAGGCCTGGAGGGTAGAGGACAGCTGGCAGTGGGAGACAAGGATGAAAAAAAAAGTCCCACAAGGGTCATCTCTGAGGTGTCAGAAGCACGCCATAGAGGAAACAGCAGCCCCTTCTTATGAAGGCGTATGAAGCACCAGGCATGGTTCTAAGTCCCCTACACGTGATCTCATTTACCTCCCACCACACCTCGAAGAAATGAGGGATTGCCCATTTCACAGACGAGGCAATGCAGGTCCAGAGAACAGCTTGCCCAAGGCTATCAAGCTGGGGACAGAGGGACCAGGATAGGAACCCCCAAGGTCTGGCCTTAGGGCCTGCCAGTAATCACTATTTAACATCAGAGAACGACCTTGAAGGGCAGCTCAGACACACGCAATCAGCAGTTCCGGGGTGGGGATGTCTTTCTGTCCCCCACTTGCTGACTGAATGCTGTCCCTCTGCTTTCCAAGGGATCCCTGAGATTTATGCAGCAAAAATGGGAGTGTGAGGGGAGGAGGGTGAATGCAGACAAGGCTGACTCATTGTATGACCTTGTTTACACAGTTAACAGATAACCTCCTCCACAGACTCGTTTCCACATCATTAAAGAAAAGATGGGGGTGGGTGGGGAAGAAAGCAGGCATTCAGGTTCTTCCTACTCTAAAAACTTAAGGTATGGACTTCCCAGATGGTCCAGTGGTTAAATATCCACCTGCCGACGCAGGAGACACAGGTTCAATCCCTGGTCCGGGAAGATCCCACATGCTAAGCCTGAGAGCAGCTACTGAGCCCACACTCTAGAGCCTGTGCTGTGCAACAAGAGAAGCCACTCCAAAGGTGAGAAGCCCTCCAAAGGCAACAAGGGTAGTCCCTACTTGCCACAACTAGAGAAAACCTTAGCACAGCAAGGAAGACCAAACACAGCCAAAAATAATTTTTTTTTAAAAAGCTTAAGTTCCTTGCACTACTGCTTTCTGTTGCATCACCCTGGTCCACTCGCCCCACCCCCTAAGCCATGGCTCTTACTGTCTATTCCTGCAGAATGTAAGTTCCTGAGGCAGAGGGCTGTGTCTAGCTTGTTCTGCTGAATCCTCAGCCTGCTACATGATAACAAGTCAAGAATACTCTGCATGCCTGCTTCCTCAGTCATGTCCAATTCTTTGCAACTCTATGGACTGTAGCCCAACAGGCTCCTCTGTTCATGGGATTCTCCAGGCAAGAATACTTGGAGTGGTCTGCCATTTCCTCCTCCAAAGGGATCTTCCCCACCCAGAGATCCAACTCACGTCTCCTGCAGTGTAGGCAAATTCTTTACCGCTTCGAGGCACCCTGGAAGCCCCAAGAACACTCTACTGAATGAATAAATCCCTGAGAACATCCTCCTGCCACCTTCCTCCTAAAATTCCTCTACAATCTCTCGCTCATTCTCTGTACTACTTATGGCCTCCCGATACAGAATTAACTTACTTCTCTTATATACGCCTCTCGAATCCCCGCTGGAACCTAAGCTCCAAAGGCAGGAATGTGTGTCCGTTTTTGTTCACTGCTCTATCCCTTAGACTTACAACCGCAACTGGCCCATGACCTCAACGAACATGTAATGAAGGTATGAGGAAGGCAGATCGCCCTGGGGAAGTGTCACAAAACAGCTACCGAGACTCGCAGAAAAGTAACTGAGCGGCAAGACTATTCTGATCCTTCCGGGCACCAAATTTCTATGCCTGGGCGTCTACTGGACAATCCTAAGCTCACTGGATTCAACTCTCCTAAAGGGATCTGAAAGGGGAAGGAATCTAGCTCAAGTTCATGGAGCTAGTGCTGAGAAGACTAGTACTCGAACTCCAGGCGTTGGAGAAGCTTCGCTCCTGGAAAAGGCTGCTGGGGTATGAAGGTGATAAATGATCCCTCAGTGCAACCCGCTGCGTGCAGATGTGGGGAAACGGAGGTCTAGGGCAGGGCGCTCATTACCTCAACAATCTTGATAAAGCGCGGGAACACTGGGTTGCGAGTAACGGCGATGAGCGGCAGGTGCGGGAATACGTCCGGGATCATCATAGGCGTCAGCGCCGTTATGACAGGGCCCTCCCCGCCGCCCGCGCTGCCTCCCACGCCCGAGGCCCCGTCCTCCGCCCCGCCCTCGGAGGCATCCTCGCCTCCCGAGAAGGCGCCGCCGCCGCTGCGGTTATTCGCCTCCCAAAGTCCCCGCCAGTGGCCCGCGACCGCGGGGCTTTGGCCCCACAGCGCCCATGGAGGCGAGGCGTCGCAGGCCCTCCGGCCTCTGGGCAACCAAGCTCTGGCCGCAGTCGGGACCCGCCCCCCGGCGGCGGCCAGTAGCGGCCGCCGAAGCGCCCAACACCTTGCAGCTCCCCACAGCCGTACACAGCCTGTGCCCCCCGCCATGGCCCGGCCATCCTGGCGGCGCGTAAGACTTGCGTCATTTCCGCGGGCCCGGCTGGGGCGCACGTGACGGCCGGCGCGTGTCTGGGTGCCCACGGGAGGGGTGGCCGGAAACGGACGGCTGCGGGGGCGGGACAGGGAAGGGTGGAGGCTGGGCCTACACCGAGCGGAGCTAGAAACTTTCAAGCTACCTCGTCGCATCCACCTTTTCCGATCTCCTAGCCAGCGTGTTTGAACTGTGGTGTTGGAGAAGACTCTTGAGAGTCCCTTGGACTGCAAAGAAGAGCAAACCAGTCAGTCCTAAAAGAAATCAGTCCTGAATATCCATTGGAAGGACTCATGCTGAAGCTGAAACTTCAGTACTTTGGCCACCTGATGCGAAGAACTGACTCATTGGAAAAGACCCTGATGCTGGGAAAGATTGAAGGCAGGAGGAGAAGGGGACGACAGAAGATGAGATGGTTGGACGGCATCACTGAATCGATGGACATGAGTTTGGGCAAGCTCCAGGAGTTGGTGATGGACAGGGAAGCCTAGCGTGCTGCAGTCCATGGGGACTCGCAAAGAGTCGGACACGACTGAGCGACTGGACTGACCTGAGCCAGCGTGTTCAAGGCTCCTTCGAATCGTGGGGAAGGCTGTGGACACGCACAGCCCTAGAAAGAGAAAACCGTGGCTGCAAGCGCAGCTCTGGGAACGAGTGGGCAGCCCAGTCCAAACAGGTTTAGGAACTTGGGTGACATGCGCATGCTCAGACTTTGGACGCGTCACGATTGGTGGATTCGGGTTTCCCGGGAGACGCTAAGTGCTTGCAGAAACTGTAGACTGCCTATGGGCGGTCGTGTGCTCCTGCCCAACCGCTGGGGGGCTTGTTGAGGTCTGCTTCGGTCTTCCTGGGGAGCAAAGTGCGCATGCCCAGACTGTGAAAAGACTCCCCGCGGCAGTTGAGTATACGTATTGGCGGCAACGGCCAGGGCGACATGCTGGCGTTAATGCTGGTGGCGGCGACCACCTCTTGGCTCTGCCCGCTGGTCACAGCTCAGCCACTGTGCCGGTGGGGCTGCCCTTCCGGGCCTGGGGTACTGCCAGGGGTCGGGGAGGGGGCAGACTCATCCCTGGGCGCAAACTAGGAAAGATGCTCCGCTTCCCAACCTCACTGAGGATTCCGTTTACTTGATACCCACTCTTCTCTTCCCACTTCATGCCTTCCAGCCCATCACCAAGTCCTCCCATTGCCACTTAAAGACTTTAGCCTGATTCCGATACCTTCAAGCCACCTTCGCCACCACGACCCTGGGCTGTGCCTGGCAGCCCATAGAGGTTGTTTGTAAACGAATCTGACCTCGTAATTCCCCTTCCCTGTGGCACCCAGTATAAAAACCAATTTCCTTGCGCATCGTTTCCTTGCATGGTCTGGCCCAGGGTTCCTCAACAGTGCTGCTGACATCTAAGGCCAGATCACTCTCTGGGGTGGGACCGTCCTGTACATTGTAGGACGTTGAGCAGTGTCCCTGTCCTCCATACACTTAATGCCAAAAGTACCTCGTTCCCCAGACTTGACAGTCAAATATGTTTAGGCATCACCAAGGGTCCCCTGGGGATGTGACAGCCACTGATGTCTCCCCTACCCACCCCTGAATCACTGTTCCCAGCCACCGGTCCCTTGAGGAACAGGGGAGACTCCGTGCCTGCTTCTCCCTCTGCCTGGGACGCTTTGCTTCCAGATTTTCTCGGTGACTTCTTCATTCAGATACCGACTTAAATAGTACACTCCTTTATTTAAAGACCCCCTCTCCCCTATAGTTGCTGCTTCCTATAAATCACTAACTTCTGTTACACTTATTTTTTCTTGTTTGTTGCTGTCACTAAGATATTAACTCCATGGGGTATTGAATGTTTCTCTTATTCACTCCTTGCCCAAAATGTTTTCAATTTCAGTAAATGTTAGATTAGTAAATATTGTACGTGAGGTGCCACGGGCACTGGATAGATGCTAAAGCCCAGTTCCAACCCTCAGGGAACTCCTGCCAGTAATAAGCTGTACATTCAGAGGGGCCTGTTTGCCATAAAGTAGAGAATGTGTATTTCTGGTACATGCTCCCTTTTGATCATTGCAACAAATTTCATAGCAGAGTGATTCCTTAACCTTACTTTATAGAAGTGAAAACATACGCAGTGAAATTAAAGACACACTTGCTTTTAATAGGGCAGTGGGAAGTAGGACTTTCAGGTAAGACTTGCTAGCCAGATGTGTCTCAAAGTCTGCAAAGATTAGGTCCATCCAATCCTCCCATTTCCCCACACTGGTTCTCAAAGTGCAGTCTTGAGACAGTAATATCAGCGTTACCTGGGGATTTGTTAGAACTGCAGATCCCTGAATCTGCTGAGACTCAGCAGTGGAACCCAGCAATCTACAGTTGATCAGCACCTCCATGTATGTGCTTCTAACTCACATGCAAGACTGAGAACCTGCTGTAGATGGCAGAATCTTTTTTTTGTTTTAATTTATTTAATTTTTGGCTGTGCTGGATCTTCATCGTTGCACGTGGGTTTTCTCTGGTTACTGAGAGTGGGGGCTCTTCTTCATTGATGTGTACAGACTCCAGGGCGTGGGCTCAGCAGCTGTGGCGCATGGGCTTACTTGCTTCCCGGCATGTGGAATCTTCCCAGCCCAGTGATTAAACCCACATCCTCTGCATTGGCAGGCAGACTTCTAACCATTGGACCACCAGGGAAGTCCCAAGAACCTGCTGTAAACTGGACCACCATTCTCCCAGTCACCAACAACCTCCCGTCCCCCTAGCCAAAAACCACCCCCTCAAAATCCAGGAGTAAGTATTCCTAATCTGGAGTCAGTCTGCAAATAACCCTTGATGAACTCTCAGGAATTATGTCTCCATTCTTGCCGATACATAAGTCTCTTTACAGGCGAGGAAGGCTCACTGTTTCATCAGATTCTCCAGGGGCTCCCATAATCCTACAAGCTGCAAGAACTGGTACTGCACCATTAACCCAAAGGAAAACTGGTAAGAGTCACGCTGAATACTGAATAAATACTGACAGGTATTTTCTTGTCTCACCTCTAGTACTCGTACGTTGAGGACAGGAAAGGTGTTTCCCGTCAAAGAGAAAATACAAGGGGTATGTGTCTGGCAACCCACTCCACTATTCTTCCCTGGAGAATTCCATGGACAGAGGAGCTTGGCAGGCTACATTCCATGGGTTGCAAACAGTCAGACATGACTAAGCAACTAACACCTTATGTGGCTCCATGGGCTTCCCGGGTGGCTAAGTGGATAAAGAATCTGCCTGAAATGCAGGTGACTCGGGTTCGATCCCTGGGTGGGGAAGCTCCCCTGGAGGAGAGCATGGCAACCCACTCCTGTATTCTTGCCTGGAGAATCCCCATGGACAGAGGAGCCTGGTGGGCCGCAGTCCATGTAGTTGCAAAGAGTAGACATTACTGAAGCAACTGACCAAGCACACACATGGCTCCATAGTTAACATTCGTTCTTCACTTCTATTGCTGGATCAGAGCGAGTATTTCCTAGTATTTCTTGGGTGTCAGTTTTGTGGCCAGCATAAAATATTACTTTATCTAATCCTTACCATTGCCTTTTGAAGTAGGCAGTAACCTCTCCCATGTCACTAAAAAGCTATTAATAATTGAGATGAAGTAAACAGAACACAGTAAACTGAGCGACTTTCACTTTCTCTCACTTTCAGACAGAACAAGGGCTTCCTAAGTGGTGCTAGTGGTAAAGAACCTACCTGCAAATGCAGGAGATATGAGAGACATTATTCAGTCTCTAGGTCAGAAAGATCCCCTGGAGGAGGGCATGACAACCTACTCCAGTATTCTTGCCTGAAGAATCCCATGGACAGAGGAGCTATGGTTCATAGGGTGGCAAACAGTTGGACATGGCTGAAGTGACTTAGCACAACAGTACAAGACAGAACAAAGCCAGAAGCTGGAGTTGGGTTTAAAACTCAGATCATCTGAGTTTTTATTCAGTGTTCTATCTGATTGGAGGGTTAGTTGTTTTTTTGTTTTATCTATTTGACTGCACTAGGTCTTACTTGCAGCATGTGGAATCTTTTTTAGTTGAGGCATGAGGGATCCAGTTCCCTTACCAGGGACTGTATCCCAGCCCCCCTGCATTGGGAGCACAGTCTTAGCCATAGACCACCTGACAGGAGGTTTTAAATGCAGACTAGCATAGTAGCAAATTACTTTTTTTACATGACATAAACCAAGCAAGAAACTTCCTTTCACCCACATGTGCCTAAAATGCATGAAGAAAAAAATACTTTGTCAGCTCAAATGTGTTTCCCATTGACATCATGTTATCTCAGAAGTGCTGTCAGCACTTGCTAAATAACCAAGTGATTATTTATTAGCAGATTTCTAACTTTTTTGGTCCTCTAGCTTCTCAAATAATGAGTAATCTATAAACAAATAGCATACACGAGGCGAAGTGATATGGATTATTGTCCTGTGAAACTTTTTAAAGTTCTAATTTAAAAAAAAAAGATTTCATTGTGGTTGTTGTGGGCCATTTTAAAAGTTTTTATTGAATTTGTTGTAATATTGCTTCTATTGTATGTTCTGGGTTTTTGGCCAAGAGGCATGTGGGAGCTTAGCTCCCGAACCTGGGACTGAACCTGCATCCCCTGCTTGGGAAGGCAGAGTCTTAACCACTGGACCTCCTTGGAAGTCCCTAAAGTTTTTGTTTTTGACATAATTATAGATTCACAGCAAGGTACAAAACAATGCCGAGACATCCCAGGTCCCTTTCACCCAGCTTCTCCCATTGGTGACCTCTAACAAAATCAGATGATAACATCAAATCAGGAAAATGACATAGATGCCGTCTACCTGCCCAACTCAGATTCTACCTTTACAAGTTCCATGTTGCCCACTAGGGAACTGTTTTCATCAGGTGTTTATTAGGATTGATAGGATTAAAATTTTGTGACTCTCTTTCTAGGACCGCCTGTATTTTTCATCTGGGAAAACTCACTTGATTAAGCATCCTTGTAACAAAAACCTAGCCCTGTATCTAGGGTAAGATATCATTCCCTTCTTTTTATCAAACCATTACATTCACCCTTGTTCTTTGATTACACAAACATTAGAAAAAAAGACAGCTCAGTCCTCTGTTGCTAGATGCTAGCCTATAGGGAGTCCACAGTTGGGGGTCCAACTGGAGAGAAAGAGGCGAAAAGATAACTAAAATAATTACAGTACGGCTTGTCACAGAGGCTTGATATAAGGCAGTTATGAGGAGTGTCATTCACAGTAGAACCAGAAACTTTAAAATACATAGGAATTAGCTCAGTAACTCCTCTCTGTTTAAAACCATAAAATTCTTCCAGAGGGGCAAGAGAAAGAGATCTGGATAAGGAAACAATTTACCATGTTCATGGATGGCCTTTGGCCCCTTAAAAGTTACCTGCATAAGAGACATACTGTCTCTTTTTTTCTGTCACATTCCTGATGTGAAAGCCTTTGCTTTAGTGGGATGAGAGTGAAATAAAGGACAAACCTGAAGTTCACCCGCAGCAAAACAAGCTGGGACTTAATGTACATTTTATATAATTTTATTTTTGATGCAGTCACACTTTTCAACTAATGTTATTTTAAGAAGTCAAATAGCCATGCTATAGAGGTTTACTCATGCAAAAATAAATAGATGAGCAATCACTAAATAGACAATGATAGATAATGATAGGTAGACAGACAGATAAATAAATCTCTGGTTCCTTGTTAAGAAAGGAATTTTATTTGAATGGAACATTTTTTTAAATGCCTGACATTGTCTTTTTTTCTTTGCTTGGGTGAATTTTTCCTAATTGAAACCTTTTATTGTTTATTTCAGAAGACAAATTTTTCTCACAAAGGACAACTTTGAGAGTAGTCTCATTCCATTTTCCATCCCTTCGTCAATGCAGGTAGTTATGTTGTTGAACAATCTGAGAGGTGCTTGAAATAGTAATTCTTAGGGTTAGATATAGGGGCATCCCTGGTGACACAATGGTAAAGAATCTGCCTGCTAATGCAAGAGACACAGGTTCGATCCCTGGGTGGAAAAGATCCCCTGAAGGAGAAAATGGAACCCCACTCCAGTATTCTTGCCTGGGAAATCCCATGGACAAGAGGAGCCTGGCGGATTTCAGTCCATGGGGTTGCAAAGAGTCCAACACAACTGAAGTGACAGCAGGCACGCAGGGTTAGATCTAGTTGGGAAACACCATGTGCATACTACTCTATTTTTGTTAGTTTGGGGGTTTAAAGGTATTGAGAGTAATTTCTAATCTGGAAGGAGTGTTGATTCTATTCTGCCCTTACTACCAAAACAGATACTTCTTTTTCCCTTAAAAAAGAATCAGATGTCTTGCAAGAGCTCTTTATAATTGGTTTTGTGATACATGACATGCACTGATTTTAGGACCTCCCCAAATTACTGTCAACCAAAACAGAAAAACCTGTACCCTCTCAGTAACTATCCTGAGAAATCTAATGGTTGGCACTTATACTCCAGAAGGTTCTACCATCTGTTAAAATATTAACACCAGTTTTTCTTATAGCTAAGTGAAAGTCGCTCAGTTGTGTCCGACTCTTTGTGACTCCATGGACTATACAGTCCACGGAATTCTCCAGGCCAGAATACTGGAGTGGGTTGCTGTTCCCTTTTCCAGGGGATCTTCCCAACCCAGGGATTGAACCCATGTCTCTACCAGCTGAGCTACCAGGGAAGCCCAAGACTACTGGAGTGGGTAGCCTATCCCTTCTCCAGCGGATCTTCCTGACCCAGAAATTGAACCAGGGTCTCCTGCATTGCAGGTAGATTCTTTATGAGCTGAGTTACATGGGAAGTCCCAGTTTTTCTGATAAGTGACACATTGATCAGTTATGTTCATCATTCATTATTGATGCATTAGGCTTTATCCTCAGAAAAGGTCTTTTAAAAAATATTTATTTATATACCATAATTTCTGTATCCATTCATCTGTCAGTGGACATCTAGGATGCTTCCATGTCCTAGCTGTTGTAAAGAGTGTTGCAACAAACATTGGGGTGCATGTGTCTCTTTCAACTATGCTTTTCTCAGGGTATATGCCCACTAGTGGGATTGTTGGGTCATATGGTAGTTCAGTTCCTAATTTTTAAAGGGACTGCCATTGTGGTACATATATACAATGGAATATTACTCAGCTATAAAAAAAAAAGAACACATTCGAGTCAATCCTAATGAGGTGGACAAACCTAGACCCCCATTATACAAAGTAAAGTAAGTCAGAAAGAGAAAGACAAATATTGTATATTAACACATGCTTATGGAATTTAGTAAGATAGTAGTGATGAACCTATTTACAAGGCAGCAATGGAGATACAGACATAGAAAAATATTTATTGGGTTGTGTCAAGTCTTAGTTGCAGCAGGTGGGATCTTTCATTGAAGCACATGAGCTTCTCTCTAGTTGCAGCAAACAGGCTCTCTACTTGTGGCCCACAGGCTTAAGTTGCCCCATGGCATGTGGGATCTTAGCTTCCCCAACGAGGGATCAAACCTGGGTCCCCTGCACTGGAAGGCAGATTCTTAGCCACTGGACCAGCAGGGAAGTCCCCTCAGAGAAGGTTTTGATATGGGAGGAGATGGAGTGAATTTAGGTATTCGCGGGGACACCCAACACTAATGTCAACCTCCCAGTTCTGCTTTTAGCTGATCCTCAGGATGCATAGTTCCCAATATCTAGGACCCCAAACAACTCTCGCTGACCTAAACATTCCTGGGATGCCTGTCTAGAAGTACTGCTTTCTGAATTCGATGTTTGAAAAGCTGCACATACTGATATCATGCTATATATCGTATCCTTAGGTGGGCACACCAGAAGTGACGTCAGCACATTTTGCTGGTTCGGTATTACTGTTAGTAGTGAATCAAAAAGTCTATGTTTATGATTATGAAGCTAACTTCTGGACTGCATCTACAGGTATGCGCATTTTATAATTTTTTTAATATTTATTTAGCTGCATTGGGTCTCAGTGGCCAAACATGGGATATTTGTTGCGGTGCACAGGCTTCTCTGTAGTTATGGCACACAGGCTTAGTTGCTCTGCAGCAAGTGGAATCTAGTCCCTCAATCCGGGATCAAACCCACGTCCTCTGCATCGGAAGGCATATTCTTAACCATGGACCACCAGGGTAGTCCCTATATTTTGTATTTTTTAAAAATCTTGTTTGCCTTTGGCCAACATCAAAGTTTCGGAAGTTACAGACAATGCTGCTACTTGGACATCAGTCCCTGGACATTACACTGTCCTTTTTTTTTTGGCCATGCTGCACAGCTTGAGGGATCTTAGTTCCCAGAACAGGGATTGAACTGAGCCCCAGGCAGTGAAAGTGGCCGGTGCTAACCACTGGACCGCCAGGGAATTCCCTATGTGACCCTCTGTAATTCAGTGAGAGTTGGTCTAAGCCCCGATCCCACAGGTTGGTGACTGAGTGTTTCCTTTGGGGTTGTGGTGACAAGCCACAACAATCTGCTCTCACTGATTGGCACAGTAAGAGGATTTAGCAGGAACTGTGTTGGCGAGGAAGTCAGGGAGGACCAGAGAGGGCAGAGGATGGGTCCAAGATGCCTGAGTGGGGTGCATATACAGTCCCACAAATGTCACCTTCAGGACAGGAAACAGTGGAGAAGGCTAAGCTTTAAGGATAGAGAAAGCGAGAACCGGTGGAGGAGGCAAGGAGATGGGGTCCAGTGAAGAAAAGGGAGATAGTATTTTCTAGAGAAGAGGAAGGACAGATCGGGATGGCCCGTCCCTTCCAGAGAATGAGGACAGGTGCCCTCATTGGTGAGAAACGGGTCAGTATGAGGTTTCTCAGCCCTGGCCCTGCTGACACCGGGGATGCATCATTCTCTGGGTGGGGGTGGGGGGCATTCTGGGTGCTATGGGGTGTGGAGCAGCAACTATTCCCCCACCTACTGGATGCCAGGAGTGCCCCCCCCTCCAACTGAGTCCTGACAACAAGCACGTCCCCAGACATCACCCAGTGTCTCCTGGGGGTTGAAATTCCCTTCGTGGAGAACCACTGGGTTGGTATACCACCATCTTGCAATCTGTTATACTTCTGCTCCACTTGTATTCCTGGTGGTGAAAGATTGTGGTCCCCACTTCCTCCAACAAGATGGAGCCCCGCAGTCCATCACCACAGCATCTGCAGCGAGGAGCTTGCTAAGCTCTGGATGGAGAGTCGATCACAGGACCCCCCTCCCCATGGAGGGAAAGAGAAATACAGGAAAAGAGCCGCACCTTGCCCTGGTCTCTGGCTTACGTGTCTCATCACTGTGTTCCAGGCTGTCACTCCAGGAAGTGACTGATTGATGATGGTTAGTGATTGACAGCTGGAAGGCTTCGAGCCCGTGGCTGAGGTGCCATGTAAACACAGTGTGAATGGCCCAAAGAGAATGTATAACCCAAATGAAGCCAGGTGGCCTGGGGGCCAGGCTTAGGCTCATCTCATCAAAGGGTCACATTCAACACAAACACTCATCTGCCTCCAAGACATCAGCTGACCCACTCTTTTTTTAAAGAACATTTATTTATTTGGCTGCACCAGGCCTTAGTTGCGGCATGTGGGATCGAACCTGGACCCCCTGGATTGGGAGAGCAGAGTCTTAGCCACTGGACCACCAGGGAAGTCCTTAGGCCCATTTTTTTTCATCCATTTTTCTGTCAACAAACACTCAAGCTGCTTCCATGTGTTAGTTACTGTGAATAATGCTGGTTTGAACATGTATATACTGCTTTTAATTTGGGGGAAGGTATGTACCTGGAAGTGGAATTGCTGGCTCACATTTTCCCGTTTTTGAGGCCCCTCCACAGTGGCCACACCATTTTGCATTCCCACCAGCAGTGCACAAGGGAATTTGTGCACTTCCCATTTGTCACTGACACTTGTCTTCCAATTCTGTCATGGTAGCCATCCTAATGGGGGAGTGAAGTGGGGGTCTCACTGTGGTTTTGCTTTGCATTTCCCTAAGGACTGGTGATACTGAGCATCTTTTCATATGCTTTTGGCCACATGTGTGTTTCCTTTGTTTCTGAAGCTTCTCCTTCAGAAACAAAGAATGCCTTGCTCAGAGAAAGGTGCCCTTCCTGCTATTTTGGGGACAGTTTACCCCTCACCCCCAGATGACACTTGGCAATGTCAGGAGACATTTTTAGTTGTCTAGACTGGAGGAAAGAGACTTCCCTAGTGGTCCAGTGGTTAAGACTTCAATTTACAATGGAGGGGATGGGGATTTGATCCCTGGTTGGGAAGCTAAGATCCCACATGCTGCATGGCCAAAAAACATAAAACAGAAGACTATTGTAACAAATTCAATCAAGACTTTAAAAAATGATCCACATTAAAAAAAAAGATCTTAAAAGACTAGAGGAGAGTGACACTGGTCAAATAAGTCACTATATAAGTGATTTAGTAAGCTAAGTAAGTCAATAGAAGCAGGAAGCTGAAGCTCCAATACTTTGGTTATCTGATGTGAAGAGCTGACTCATTGGAAAAGACCCTGATGCTGGGACAGGTTGAAGGCAAAAGGAGAAAGGGGCAGCAGAGGATGAGATGGTTAGACAGCATCACTGACTCAACGAACATGACTTTGAGCAAACTCCAGGAAATGGTGGAAGACAAAAGAGCCTGGTATGCTGCAGTCCATGCAGTCACAAAGAGTTGGACACAACTTAGCAACTGAACAACAACAACAGAAGCAGGATGCTGCAAAACATCCTGCAGTGTCCAAGAGCCCCCTAACTGAGAAGTCTGGCCACAGATGTCAGTGGGGAGGGTGGGAAGCCCTGCTCTAACCTCCTTTCTCGGAACTCAGAGAACATCTCAGTTCCCTTTTACTTTCAGGCATAGAACACCCTGTTTCACATGTATCTGGTGACAACTGTTGTTACAGTGGAAATTCATTCTGCATGGTAAGTTCCATGTGTCATTATCTCATTTTATACTCTACTGTGAGCAGAGATAATTACAAATGGAAATAAGGGAATGGAAATAAGGACAGTGTAAGCCTTGAGGGCTGGGAGCGTGATGGACTCAGGCTGTGTTATCTCACTGGGTTCAGAAGAGGACCTGAGCTATGGGAGGGGCTCATCTGGCTGACACCCTGAATATATCCATCTGTCTTTTTTTTTTTATGTGTTATTTTGAAATAATTATAGGTGTACAGGAAGTTGAAGAAATTTATACAGAGTCCCATGTATCCCTCAGCTAGTTTCCCCAAGTGGTTACATCTTACATAACTACAGGGATACAAACAGGAAATTGATATGGGTACAATTGTGTCAAGTCAGAGAACTGCTACTACCATCAAAATACTGAACTGGGGACTTCCCTGGTGGTCCAGTGGTCAAGACTGTGTGCTTCCACTGCAGGGGGCAAAGGTCAATCCCTGGTTGGGAAATTAAAGTGCCGAAAGCTGCATGGCACAGCCAAAAAGTCAAAATAGTAACAGTAATAATGAAATAAAATACTGAACTGCTCCATGGCCCCAAAGCTCTCCATACCTCCCTACCCTGCCCTAGCCCCTGGCAAATGCTAATGTTCTCCATATCTCTAATTGTATCATTTCAAGAATGTTCTATAAATGGGGTCATACAACATGAAACCTTTGGAGACTAGCTTTTCTCAGCAAAATTCTCAGGAGACTCATCCAATTTGCTGCATATATGTCACTAGTCTGTTCCTTTCTGTTGCCGAGTAATTTTCCATAGCGTGGATGTACCAGAATTGGGTTGTTTCTACTTTTCAGCTTTTATAAATAAAATCACTAGAAACATTCATGTAGCTTTTTGGTGTGGACACCAAGTTTTCATTTCTCTGGGAGAAATGCACAGGAATATGATCACTGGCATCTGTCTCCCCACTCCCTTTTAGTTTTAAAAAAAAAATCTTTTTATTTTTCTTGCTTGCAGGATCTTAGTTCCCCAGCCAGGAAGCAAACCCCAACCCCTGCAGGGGAAGAGCGGTATCTTAACTGCTGGACTGCTCAGGAAGTCCGTTTTTTTTCCCCTAATTTTTTCTCTCCACCCACCCCCTTTTTATGGGATGCAATTGACATACCACACTGTAAATTTAAGGTATACAATGTGTTGGTTTGCTACATTTACGTATTGCGGTATGATTACCACCATATCATGTCATGAAATTATCATTTCTTTTTTATGGTGGGAATAACCAAGATCTGGTTTCTTAGCAACTTTGGTTTCTAATCTAGTATTGTTGTCTGTGATCACTATACTGTGCATTAGACCTCCAGAACTTATCTACCTATTTAAAGAACATCTCCCCAGCTGCCGCCCCATTCCACCTTCTATCTCCTTTTAAAGAAACTGTTTTATGTGTGTGTTCTTCCAGGATATAAGTAACTCGGTTTTTGCTTATTTGCATGGAGATCAGATATCTCAGGCCAGCATCTATTTCTCAGACTCCCGAGGGTACAGATTTCAGAAGTACACCCAGGAAAGACGTGTACGTTCAATGTGGTAAGAAAATGAATAAACAGGGGCTTCCCTGGTGGCTCAGTGGTAAAGAATCCACCTGGCAGTGCTCGCTTCGGCAGCACATAGACTCAAACTGGAACGACACAGAGAAGATTAGCATGGCCCCTGCGCAAGGATGACGAGCAGATTTGTGAAGCGTTCCATATTTTAACTCATCAACGCAGCCAAGGACTCCTCCAGCTCCTACGCCATCAAGAAGGATGAGCTGGAGCGTGTGGCCAAGTCTAACCGCTGATCACCGGCTGCAGCTGCAATAAACCTGTTTGCCCTGTGGGGCAGCCCCTTCTAAACCAACAAACAAAAAGAATCCACCTGGCAATGCAGAAGACGTGGGTTCCTTTCAGTCCAAGGGACTCTCAGGAGTCTTCTCCAGCACCACAGTTTGAAAGCATCAATTCTTCGGTGCTCAGCCATCTTTACTGTCCAACTCTCACATCTATACATGACCACTGGAAAAACCATAGCTTTGACTATATGGACCTTTGTCAGCAAAGTAATGTCTCTGCTTTTTAGTATGCTGTCTAGGTTTGTCATAGCTTTCCTTCCAAAGAGCAAGCATCTTTTAATTTCATGGTGTCTTTTCTTATCAGGGCACTAATCCCACCCTGACCTCATCTAGATTTAATCACTACCAAAGACCCTACCTCCAAATACTATCATTTTGGAGGTTCTGTGAATGTTTGTGCGCCCTCCCCCCCAATTCATGGGTTGAAATCCTAACACCTGATGTGATCTGTATTAGGGGTCTTTGGGAGGCGCTTAGGTCATAAGAGTGGAGCCCTCACGAATGAAATTAGTGCCCTTATGAAAGAGACTCTAGAAGGGCTTCCCTGTTGCCCAGTGGTTAGGGATCCACCTTCCAGTGCAGGGAACGCAGGTTCAATCCTCGGTTGGGGAACTAAGCCTGTATGCTGCAACTACTGAACCTTTGAGCTCTATAGCCAGTGCTCTGCAACTAGAGAAAGCCTGTGTGCTGTAAGGAAGACCCCAATCAGCCAAAATATAAAAAATTTTAAAAAGAGGCCCCAGAGAGCCAGCTCACCCCATTCCTCCATACAAAGACACACCAAGAAGTCTGCAACCCAGGAAAAGGCCCTCACTTGACCATGCTGGTCCCTTGATCTTGGACTTCCAGCCTTTCTGTTGTTATAAGCCACCCAGTCTCTGATATTTTGTTGTAGCAGCCTGAACAGACTAAGACAGGGGGTTGGGGTTTTAAGCTACTAACTGGAGGAGGACACCATTTGGTCCATAATACTGTATATAATAGAAATACCACCACCCCACCCCCCCTACACACACACCCAAACACAACCAAGTAACAGAGGCTTAAATAAGATGGCAGTCTTTCTCTTTTACCTGAAAGATGTCCAGGGAGGGGTGGGGGAGCCAGGTGGGTTGCCATGGCAACTTGTCCCACTGTCCATAGGTTGGGGTCCTTGGCCCCATGCTCCAACATGCCTGCCGATGGGCACTTTGCTGCCCAGCCAAAGATCAGGAATGAGGAACCGAAGCAGGAGTGAGGGATTTAGGCAGGCATCTCAGAGTCTGGGTCACCCCACTTCCTCGAGCACCCCACACCAAGCTGTCTTCATTCAAAGTTCTGCCCGAGATGCTGAAGGGTTGCTGCTGAACCACAAAAGACGCTGGGATTCTTGGCCTCCGGAAGAGAAGAATTCAATCCAGGGCCAGAGACGAGGATTGATCGCTCACAGCTTTCGTGTAATAGAGTTTTATTAAAGTATAAAAGGGATAGAGAAAGCTTCCGACATAGACATCAGAAGGAGGCAGAAAGAGAACCCTTTGCTAGTGTTAACAATGGAGTTATATACCTTTTAATTAGTTATTACAGTGAATCAAAAGAATGTCTCAAGTTTGTGAAAATTTTACCAGACCCACTCCCACAATTTACATTTTAGGACAACAAGATTAGAATTTAACAATAGAAAGATCCTACCAGACCCACTCCCATGATATACCTTCTGAGATATCAGGATTAGTCAGAAGGTTTTCAAGAAGGAGAAACTGTCCTCCAGCCAGTTACATTGTCGTTGTATAATCCCTAGTACAGAGTTTAAACTGAGTTGTGTAATTGACTAAGACTATGCAGGAGACCTGGGTTTGATCCCTGGGTCCAGAAGATCCCCTGGAGAAGGAAATGGCAACCTACTCCAGTACTCTTGCCTGGAAAATTCCATGGATGGAGGAGCCTGGTAGCCTACAGTCCGTGGGATTGCAAAGAGTCTGACACGATTGAGCGGCTTCACTGGTGGTGGACTGAAGGAATGTAGAGGGATAAAAATGTTTGTCCTTTTCTCCTCCTTGAGAATTCCAGACCCCTTTCTCCTCCTTGGGGACCCTGGACTTCATCAATCTGCCTAGGAATTGACTCTCTCAGTGCTACAGAGGGGAAACAGATCATAATAAAAAAGACTTTCTTTCCTTTTAGCTTACTAGCTAATCTAGAGTTAAGTTATAAAGGAAGCACATTGATGATCTTATTTACATGCAGTATTCTGTTTGTTTCACAGGCAGAGCTAGTTGGGACCTTGGGGGGGATCTTCTCCTTTCACTCCCTGTCACAGGTCGGGCTGCTTCTTGTTGACCAACAGATGGTAAGTACCATTTGGGCTGGGAAAAACCACTTCGGTGACCTTTACACCAAGACAGGTTTTTGTCAAAACTCATACACTTAGATTTTCATATCTGAAATCCATCTAGCTTTTGACTCACCTGTCCATCCATGTATCCATCCACCCACTCTTCCACCCATCTACACATCCTTCCACCTTTCTATCCTGCCGGGAGCCAACACATGAAACCCTACCCATGACAAGGTCACGAGGAGAAAGCCTGACAGGCGAGGCGGATCAGGTTTTCAGGGATTTCGAAAAGCTGCCCCCGGCGCTCGCCTTAAAGATGATATCTGTCTTTCTGATGCCTGCCTCAGTAGACTACTCCCTGATTTCTGTGACACAGGCAGAAGGCCTTCCCCAATCTCTTCCCAAATAAGAGTCAATTTAGAACTTCAATCAGTAAGTTTCCCAGGTGGTGTTATTTTATGAGATTATCCAGGGTGAAAGGAGTGTTTTAATTTAAACTCCTTTGCTGGTAGTTTGTTAGCCAAATGCATTTATGCCCTTGGTACTAATATGCATGACTGCTTATAATATCCTAATCATAAAATAGCATAAAGAACCTGATTATATAAAAGCCCTAATAGACATAGAGCATTTTTGAGGGGTGAAGGAGTCCTATTAGAAAACATAAGAAAAATTATTCTAAAGGTGGTTATTGGGTTGACGTTTGCTTGCTGTGTTTTGCTTGCTGTGTTTTTGCTTTTAATGTGCTAAGGTTGTGTTATAGAAACCATTGTTAATATAGTTTAAGATCTAGAGAAATAAGAACTTAGCCCTAGTGTGGTAACAATGAGATGGTTGCTAATTGTCAGCCAGGAGCGCTAGGCAGAGGCTGCCTCACTGAAGCCACAGAGTCTGTGTGGGCTAAACTTCTTAGGTAAACGCAGCTGACAACTTCTGCAGAAGGATTAATTTTTGTGTTAACAAGGTTATACTTCTACTCTGTACTGTTGCCCTATGAGACTGCTACCTTTCAGTTAAGGTCACCATATAAACAGAAAATAGGTTTACATTCACCTGACTTGCATAAAATGTTAATAGGCCCCAAGGCCAGAAGATAATGTACAAGACCCTCATAAACAAAGAAGTATGCAGAAAACACCCTGGTTTCATGAAGAACAAGCTGATGTAATGTTAAACTATCTTCCCCTTAGAAATGTACTAATTTAGGGTATAAAAGCCACAGTAAAAAATAAAGCATTGCCAGACTCTGCCAGACTCTGCACCCCCCATCTGGTCACTCTCTCTCTCTCTCTTTCTTTCTCTCTCTCTCCCTCGCAGACTTGGCCCTATCAAGGCTGGTCTCACTTGTCTTCTCTCTCTCTCTCGCCGACGCTGTTCATCCTGAGGGTACCCCCTGGATCCTGCTGAGGCTGGACCCTGGCACTATCCATTCTCCCATTTACCTATTAATCCATCCCCCTACCCATCCACCCATCTACCCACCTACTCTTCCATCCATTCATCCATCTCCATTCATCCTTCCATTTATCTATTTATCCATCCACCTATCTCCCCACCCACTCACCATCCAAAAAAATACTTATCTGTCCCTCCATCCATCCATTAACCTGCTTATCCATCCATCCATGCACCCATCCATTCATCTATGCACCCATCCATTCATCCATCCACTCTCCTATTCATCCATCCACTCTCTCATTCATCCATCCACTCATCCATCCATCCATCTACTTACTCATCCATCTACCCTTCTACCCACCCACACACCCACCACCCACCTTCATTATCTCATTCAGCCATGCACTCAGCAATACTTTAGTAGGGTCTAGGAGGTGCCGGGCACTAGGGATAAAATATGAAATATGGCGCATGTGTCACTGGTGGCACCCGAGACCATTTACATGCCTCGTGTCACCCCTTTTTTTAATGATTATTTTTACGTGGGTTCAGAAAATAGGGACATGGAAACCATGACCTCATAGGTATCATTTAGGATAAAACTAAAAAGAGGAATCAGTTCATGCAAAGTGCACTTGAAGAAAAATGATGAAGTCAGGCAAAGATTAAAGTAGAGTTGGTACTCCTGCTGCAAAAGTCCTGAACAAAGTGTGCGGCTCTGAAATCTGGGGGAGACCCAGGGATCGGGAAGCTCCCAGAGGCTGGGCTGCCGCCTGGTGGCTAAAAAGCCCTCCCTCTAATCACACAGTGGGGACACCCCCCATCCAGAGTCCCCTCAAGCACCTGCACACACTGCCAGGGTCCCGTCATGAATAACAGACACTCCCAGACTCTGGAAATCCTAAGAATGTAATGGTGGCCGAGGAATCAGGCTCTGGATACAACCTGTGGGCACAGGGTCTTAACCACTGGACCGCCAGGGGGGTCCCCTTGGTGATTTCTTTTCTCGCTCAAGATTGAGTATTTTTCTTTCAGGCCATGTTCAGCTACTCTGACCATCCCTTGAACCGCAGCTTTGGGCTGCCTTTTGACTATGACAGGACCCTTGACATCCTTATGGCCCCAGGCCAGAAAGGCATCCTTATCTTTTGGTTTCAGAAGAACCTGCTGGTTTCCCGAAACTCAGGTGAGCAAGGCCCAGGCTCAGGGCATGGCCAGTGCAAGCGGCTGTTTTTTCCTCTCCCTTGACTTTAGTGGACCATGACAAGCTGATTCTTACCTTGCCATCTTCATTGCAACCCCCAACTCCCACTTTCCGCCTCCTGGGACATTTAGGCCCTGTAGGCAGGTTCTGAAAGTCACCAGACCCCAAGGGCAGAGGGGCCACATCCAAGAACTGCAGATCTTATTTTGAGGCCTATGACACATGAGTCCCAGGAGAGAAACAAAAGGCAGCCCCCTAGGAGAAGGTGCTGTCAGGGACCTCTGGGCACAACTGTGGCTGCCAGAGTACCTTTGATCACAGCATGCTCCCCAGTACCGGTTAGGCCACCTGAATATGGCTGTTTCCTTCCAATGCAAGAAAAGGGCTTAGGGCTGGCCTGGCCATGCAGGGGGTACCCACTCCAGAAAGAAAGTTCTACCTGACTACATGTTACCCATACAGTAAGAGGCATCCTAAAGTTCATCTGGTATCCAGTCCATCCCTAAGAGCTCTCACATTGAGATTTAGGTGGGGTGGGGAGGTCACATTTTCTTAAACCTCATGTCTTCCATGCAATATTTTACAGCATTGCATCTCGTGGCTGCATTTTCCTTTGAGTCAAGAATCGAGGGGCTGTGTGGGTGGCAGGGGACCCTCTTGCCAACATGTGCATAGGTCTCTCTGGATTTATCCTGTTGTCTCCTAGGTCAGCTGGTCGAATCTGTCCAGGTGCGAGAAGGACAACGCATCTTGTATAATTCCATTCTCAAAGCCAACATCACCATCCACAGCGTTGCTGCCAGTATGTGCCCGACCTCCGGGTAGCTTTCTAGAAGTGCTTCAGACCTGACTTATTCACTCTTGACACACACCGCCCCACCCCCACCACCAGATCCCACCTGGCCAAAACAAACAAAACATGATTATTACATATTCTAGAACAACTCAGGGCAGAAACTTCTGTGCGCTTTCACAATGAAATGGAATGTCAGTTGGATATCGTTTGTTGGGGCTGCTCTAACAAACCTCCACAAAGTGGGTGAATTACTATTATTATTTTGACCACTTCTCAGGGCATGTGGGATCTTAGTTCCAAGACCATGGATCGAACCTGAGCTCCCTGCAGTGGGAACGCAGAGTCTTAACCGCAGTACCATCAGGGAAGTCCAAAACTGGGTGAATCAGAACAGAAGACAGGTACTGTTTCCCAGGGCTGAAGGTTCTTAGTTCAAAATCAAGGTGTTGGCAGGGCCGGTTTCTTCAGAGGCCTCTTCTTGGCTTGCAGGTGGCCTTTTCCCCCTCTGTCTTCTACCAGCTCCTTCTGTGTTGTGTCTATGTCCAAATCTCCCTTTTCTTAAAATACTTATTTATTTACTTGTGGCTCTGCTAGGTCTTCATTGCCATGCAGGCTTTTCTCTAGTTGTGGCAACTGGGGGCTGCTCTGTAGTTGTGGGGCTCAGGCTTCTCATCGCAGTGGCTTCTCTTGTTGTGGAGCATGGGCTTAGCTGCTCCATGGCACGTGGGATCTTCCAGCCAGGGGTTGAAACCATGTCCTCTGCACTGGCAGGTGAGTTCTTAACCACCGGACAAGCAGGAAATGCCCTTGTCTTTTTTAAGCAAAATAAGAACACACATTGGATCTTGCCACCCCTTCTCATGAAAACTTTTAATGGGACTTTCCTTGTTGTTCAGTGGTTAAGACTGTGCTCCCAGTGCAGGGCGGGCATGGGTTTTGATCCTTGGTTGGGGAGCTAAGATCCTGCATGTCACACAGTGCAACAACAACAACAACAAAAAGCCTTTTAAGAATATCTTGTGTTCCTCAGAACTCTATATCTGCCGGAGATCAGAAACAACCTGTGCTCATCAGTGGAGCATTGGTCAAATAAAATTATGATTCATCCAAGTAACAGAATGCCAAAGGGTCAACTCCACTGATGTGTATGGAAGGAAATAAACATACATTTCAACTCTGCTGCTGCTGCTAAGTCACTTCAGTCGTGTCCAACTCTGTGCGACCCCATCCCTGGAATTCTCCAGGCAAGAACACTGGAGTGGGTTGCCATTTCCTTCTCCAATGCATAAAAGTGAAAAGTGAAAGTGAAGTCGCTCAGCCATGTCCCACTCTACATGACCCCATGGACTGCAGCCTACCAGGCTCCTCCGTCCATGGGATTTTCCAGGCAAGAGTACTGGAGTGGGGTGCCATTGCCTTCTCTGAAAAATAAGTATAGAGTAAAAAATACTCAACTTGTACTATTAAAAAAAAGAAAAAAATACAAAGCAGCTTAAAGGGTCCCAGAATATGATCCCCAAGTATATAAAGCTACTGGAAAGCATGTTTACTAAAAGGCTAACAGTGGTACCTATGTCAGGGGTCAGCATACCATGGTCCATGACCCACCATGGGTTTTAAATAAAGTTTTATTGGCACATAGTCCTGCCTATCCACTTACAAAGTGTCCATAAGCTGCTTTCCCAGGGCCAATTACTTGTAACAGACATCACATGACCAGTAAAGCAGAGCATTCTTACCATCTGGTCCTTTACAGAAGAGACTTGCTGACCCCTGGTCCGTATGATGGGACTTGGGGAAACTTTTTAAACTTTAATATTTATTATGTTTATATTTCTGTCCATGGAAACAACCCCTGTTTCAATTTTTGTTCTGTCTTGTTTGGCTTTCCCTAGATGAAAATGAACTGGCAGTTTTAACTCGAGAGAATAATTTATATTATGGCAGCCTGGGAATCCAGTCGAGTTCTCTAATCAAAGTGGGTAAACTCCCGATGTTATTCAGTTGTTAAGGACTAACAGTCTTGTTCTCAAACATCTGATCCTTTTTATAAAGAAATTGCTCTAGTTAGTAAAGTAGCAGTTAATCATTTAATAGCAATAGTGACAATATAACATGAACTTTAATTAATTTGACACCTGAAAAGTAGGTGTCTCAACAAAGGGTACCTAAGACTTAGCTTGGCCTTTTTGGTTTCTTGCTCAGTTGCTCAGTCGTGTCTGACTCTTTGTGACCCCACGGACTGTAGCAGAGACCATGGGGTTTCTTAGAGTTTTGGTTTTTTGGCCTACCTTCTGTAAATATGAATCATAAGGGAAAAGTTAAATCCTCAAAAAAGAATGAGAATGAGCTGATCTCAGAAGTCACTCTTCTCTTAGTTTGCAGACCAAAACATCTGGTCCCAAGAGGCAGTCCTGATGTTCACTGACGTGGGGATGCTGGAAATACTGACCCCGCTTCCTGACATGATCTTTCCAGCTTTTGATTTCCAGAAGTGCCTCCTGAATATCCAGGCCCTTCTCATGGATCCCCAACTCCAAGCTGGCATCTGCAAAGTACGTGGTCATGACTTGGGGTGAGAGAATGTCAGTCTCCAGAAAGATATTAGACCGTCCATTTCCGAAGAGCCTTTGGATCCACAGCAATCAGTGGAATGAGAAAAAAAAAAAAGTGCCATTAAAAAAAAATTATTTATTTATTTTTGGCTGTGCTGGGTCTTCCTAACTGCTCGGGCTTTTCTCTAGTTACGGCAAGCGGGGATGTCACTCCAGTTGCAGTGCTCAGGCTTATCGTTGCGGTGGCTTCTCTTGCAGAGCACAGGCTCTAGGGCACTCGGGCTTCAGTAGCTGTAGCACGTGGGCTTGATAGTTGCAGTTTCCGGGCTTTAGAGCACAGGCTCAATAATTGTGGTGCACGGGCTTAGCTGCTCAGCGGCATGTGGGATCTTCCTGGACCAGGGATCACACCCATGTTCCCTGCATTGGCAGGCAGATTCTCTACCACTGAAGCCACCAGGGAAGCCCAATCAAGCACATTTTGTCCAAAATATCCTTTTATGAGATAATGTGCTACTGGGGCTACTCTCTAGTTGCTCTCTTACTGCGGATGCCTGTCTTGTTGAGCACCGGCTCTGTCTACAGCCTGGGCTTCGGTAATCGTGCCGCACAGTCTTAGTTGCTCCCTCAGCAGGTGGGATCTTCCTGAACCAGGAATAGAACACATGTTCCTTGCAGTTGGCAGGTGGATTCTTTACCACTGGACCACCAGGGAAGTCCTTGATTCACTTTTAAAGAACAGAGTCTGGATGGTGAGAGAGCCAGTCAGCGTTGGAGGCACCTCCACCCTCACCACCGCCACCCTCACCAGGAGACCAGGATGCCCGTGGGCAGCGATGAGTCCTGTTGCCAGGACAGAACATTTCAGTTAACCATGTCATCCCTTATCAACCCCAGGTCTGGAACCAGAAGCAACTTGTTGGTTCTCTTCCTAGGACACCAGGCAGCCAACACACAATCTCAAAAACCAGATTAAAAAAAGGCAAGATGCAATTTCTCCACCTCTTCTCCACACCTTCTCCTGAGTCAGCAAATAGCACAGGGAGCGGGTCTCCTCATAAAATTATTCTGGTGAATATATGAAAACAAAATGATAGGATATTGCCCTGTGCTGATGCTCAATATTGGAAAAGAGAGACAGTCGGCCATTAGGTGCCACCGACAGAAGGTGGATCACCACTGGGTCTCCCATCTCAATTCTGCCCTAATCTGATGGATCCAGATGCCAATCTGCCAGAAAAGGCAGAGCACGAAGGAATGGATGTCCAACCTCACCAGGGAAAATCCAGATGATGGGAAATCTACAGGTTTGATGGCATAGAGGGACTTTCATGGTGGTCCTGTGGCTAAGACTGCACCCTCCCAATGCAGGGGCTGTGGGTTCAATCCCTGGTCAGGGAACTAGATCCCACATGCTACAACTACAGATCCTCTGTGCAGCAAGTTAGATCGAAGATCACATGTGCCACAACTAAGACCCTGCGCTGCTAGATAAATAATTTTTTTTTTCCTTTTTAAAGATGCCTAGGAAAGAAACAAAAAAGAAAGGAAGGGAGGGAAAACTGTAGGTTGAAAGAGACTGAAAAAGACAATGTTTGCAAACAGAAAAACTAAGTTACATCATCTGGGGATGCATTGTGCTGTGCTGTGGTGTCTGACTCTTTGCCATCACCTAAACTGTAACCCACCAGGCTCTTCTGGCCATGGGATTCTCCAGGCAACTTACTCCATGCGATCTTCCCAACCCTAGGATCGAACCCGAGTCTCATGTCTCCTGCATTAGAAGGTGGCTTCTTTACCACTGACCACCTAGGGAAGCCCTAGGGATGTGTACTCAGCAATCATTCTAGGAAATGGGGAGGGAGGTGGGAAGGAGGTTCAGGATGGAGGGGACACATGTATACCTATGGCCGATACATACTGATGTATGGCAAAAACCATCACAATATTGTAATTATCCTCCAGTTAAAATAAAGACATAGAAATCATTCTAGGAAGGAAGCAAGTAAGCAATTACTGTAGAAGTCAGGTGGGGAGAGGGGCAGGCTACTTCTGGAGAGAAAAAGGGCTGTGACTAGGGAGACCTCCAGGGTCTTCTGGGGGTGCAGGGTCTAGTGGAGAGTGGCTTGAGTGACAACCCGGGCTGCTGCACCTACCAGACTGAGAGGGTCCATCCCCAGGGACCCCCCCACCTGCCACTGGTCACTTGCTCTATATTTTGGGGAGCAGAGGCTTGATTTAATTGATTCAAAGATTGATGGATTCTTTTTTTCTTTTTCTCTTTTAACATAACTTATTTTTAACTAGGTGGAACTTCTGCAAGGAGAATTTGAAAACAAAATGTACACCATTGACATGAACAGCCAGTTGGAGTTGACGGCCCTAATGATACCCCGGCCAGGCACGTTACCTGTCCCACTAGTAAGGACACTTTATCTGTTTGACAAGTGTCTCTTAACACCTGCCATCCTCGGCCTCATATCTCGCGCGCACAGTTCCCAGGCTCTGGGAATTCCCTAGCATCCTCCCAGAGAGACACTGGCTCATGAAGACTTCTCCTCTTCTTCCAGACACCAGCATCCCGGTGTCTGGCCGTAGCTGTCCCTCTGCCCACCCTGCCTCCTTTCTCTATACCTCTATGCCAGTCCTCCAACCCCCTTCTGAGCTGCCCCGGACCCTTTCCAAAAACGCCCTTTCCTCCCAGCTCAGCCAGCGCTGGCTTTCCCGCCTGCAGGGCATGCCTGAGAAAAAAAGGCATCCCTGGACCTGAAACCCATGTGTCCAAACCTGGATCCTTGGGTATAAGCAGTCAAGCTGAAAACAGGGGAGTGGACCAATGTAAGATTCCAGGGGATGTCCAGCCAGCTGGGACTAGGGCCCTGAGAGAGGAGCCGGCCTGGCTGCCAGATCTTGCCCCGCACTCTCACCGGTACCCCTCAAGCCCCCTCCCTGCACAGGACGAGCCTCTCCACGCACGAGGGACCAGTCTGGGTCTTGCAGCGCTTCAGCCCCAGGCTGTCCTCACAGAGGGCCTCAGAGCCACAGTTAGGGTGTGTTTATAATAAGGGGGGCATATTTGGAGATGGAACCTGCAGTAGTATTTGCGGAGCAACCTGGGTCTTCAGTCCAATGGGGCACTGGGGTCACCAGTGGTTGCCCCCCAAGCGGCGCCCTTTGGCTCCTGCGAGGGCTTGTACAGCGCATGCGTCTCCCTTCCCGTTTACCGCCCCCCCAGGTGATGGTGAGCAACCCCCACTCCCTGGGGCTGCAGGCGGTCATCTATGAGGAGGGCTACACCTACAACGGCGACACGAAGCACAGACTGGTGAGCTCGTCCCGCACCCGTCCCGCGTACCCTTCCCCCCACCCCCACCAAACCCGGGTCTTCAGGCTGAGGGGCTCGGCCTTGACCTGCAGATGTCAAGGGTCACCCGATGATGTCCCTCAAGGTCTGACCTCCGTCCGTCATCCCTCCCTTACAAACACTCAGATCAGGTGCTGCAGAGTATGAAGAAGCCCCTGCCCCTTCCCCACCTAGGCAGGTGACAGTCCCCCAGAGGAGCGATGGGAGGAGGCATCAGGAGGCAAACCGGCCCCGCAGGGAGGGGCTTGGCTTCAGTGTGGCTCTGGGTGACCTGCAGGCCACAGCCAGGGTCACACCAGGAAGTCTGGACTTGACCCCAGACCACAACAAACTCTTTGCACCAGACCTTGTCACATCACAGTTAAATAGGAGGGGAAACTGATTCATACCCCACTGTGGGTCCCCAGGACAGAGACAGCGTGGGAATGAAGGAGCTTGGGAAGAGGGGGCATTTCTATGAGCTTTTAGAAGGAAATTAGAACCAGAGATGGGCTGGATGCCTCCCAGTCTCCTCCTCCCAACTCTCCCACACCCCTCCCACCCCCACCCCTGGTCCTCCCCTCCTCCTGAACCCCATTTCAGGACCACCCTGGGGCTGTCCCGCAGTGGTAGCTGCATTTTGCATTTTCCCTCTTGGTTCCACAGAACATCTCGCTGAAGCAGCAGCACCACTGGGGCAGGGCCGACCCCAACTTCACCTCCAGGTATGTCGTCACCCCGATGGTAGTGGCAGGTGGCCCCAGGGCCTCTGGAGGCTTCCCTTAGCAGGAGCTGGGGAAAGCAGGACCAAGATCCAGGCTCCCCTAGTCCAAGGGCGGTAAAGCAAGAACGATTAAAAACTCTTTAGAGAAAGACAAATAGCATATGATATGACTTGTGGAATCTAAAATATGACACAGATGAACCTATCTACAAAAGAAAAACAGACTCACAGACACAGAGAACAGACTTGTTGCTGAGTGCGGGAGGGTGGTCGGGAACGAGGGGTGGATTAGGAGTTTGGGGTTTTAAAAAAAAGTGTGGATACAGAAGCTGTTAAAAGAATGATGTTAAAACATTATATGCAGCTAGGTGATAATAAAATTGGGGCTCAGGTGTTCTTTTCAAAGCTATTATATATCAGTTTAAAAAACTGACTCAAGAAGAGGTAGAAACTAGAGGGAGGGTGGTGCCACCATGTCTGAGCCCATGGTTCTTGGTCAATATTCTGGACTGAATGGATGAAAAGATGAGTGAATGAATGGAGAAATGAATGGATGGATGGGTGGATGGATGGATGAATGGGTGGATGAATGGATAGATAAATGAGTGGACGGATGGATAGATGGATGAATAGAAAAATGAATGGATGGGTCAGTGATGCTTTTTACAATTACACACACTCCCATTGCCTTGTAGCATAAAGAGACCCACAATATCTACCATCACTCTGGACATTGCCAACAAAGAAATTTCATGTGTGGACCTTAAGCCACTGGTATGACCCAGACTTCTGCCATCTCATATTCTTTGTCTTTCGTGTTCAGACTAATGGCAGCAGGCCTTCACTAGCTTTCCCCAGGGTGCTAGCTGAGCTCACACTCAGGATCTGGAAATGGATGCGATCCTGTCCCAGATGCCAAGGTGGCTGTCCCTCCCCTTCATCTTCCCCAGGGCTGTGCCTTAGGACACACCATCCGCAGAGCAGGTGTACCAGCTGGGAGTTATCAAATGGGGGGAATCTTAGTGGCACCCCATACCTGGAGCAGGTTCTTAAGGATTGACTCTGTGAGTCCCAGGCACCTGGTCACCTCATTTCCATCCAAGCTCAGGGTCTCCAGTCCCTGTTGGGTTGAGTGCAACCCCTCGTGGGCTTTCACTGGGGCCAGGCTATGGGTGCCCTCACTGACTTGGGTCAGCATCCCCATTTACCGCTTTCCCCTCCCCTGATCCGTGTCTCCCCACCTGCAGACAGCGCTCATTTCAGTGGGGTGCGACCTGGAGAAGAAGATCGTCATTCAGAAGTGAGTGTGTCGGGAGGGTGAAATTGAGGGGTGGGGAGAGGAAAGTGGGGCTTAGGGACAGTATGAGACAGTCACCACTGCTTCACAATTGCTAAAGGTGGGTGACACTACTGTCTACTTTTGTATATGTTTAATATTTCCATAAGGAACAGCTGCTCAATAATTAATCCTAATAGATTAACTTTGAGTTTCCTGCAGGTGGCTGCCCCGCCCGCCCCCCACTGACTTGGTGATATTCACCTCTTCTTTCTGCTCCTTCAGCCTTTGCTCATTCTCTTTCTCCCTTTTAATCCCTGAGTTCTTCATTTTGATTACAATTGCTGAGTTTTTGTGTTTAATAACCTGCTGAACATTTGGAGGAACTTTGCCTCTGGTTACTGCAGGGAAATGCCGCCGTGAGACACAAGGAAAGTATTAATGCTTTTATGTATTTCAGAAATTTCACATGTTAAATGGAGATTGTTTTAAATGTGTAAATATTTGAGTTTATGTAAGGATGTGCTAAAAGTCACTCATGTCTCTGTGCGTAATATTAATATGCAACTTTGGGGTTAAAGTTTTTTCTTAAGAAATTAGTGGTTTACATTTTCTTAAAAAAGAACAATCACCAGCATGAAATTGCCAAAAAAAAAAAAAGAAGAAGAAGAAAAGGGGGCTTCCGTGGTGGCTAAGTGGTAAAGAATCCTTCTGCCAGTGCAGGAAACAGGTTCGATCCCTGATCCAGGAACATCCCCCATGCCAAGGAGCAACTAACCCCATGCAGCACAGCTACTGAGCCTGTGATCTAGAACCCAGGAGCCACAACTACTGAAGCCTGTGAGCTCTAGAACCCCCACTCCACAACAAAAGAAGCCACTGTGATGACCAGCCCATGCGCTGTGACCAGAGGGTAGTCCCTGCCCACCACAACTAGAGAGAGTCCACTCGCAGCTAGGAATAGGAAAATCCAGGGCAGCCAAAAATAAATAACAAGTAAAATTAGTGGCTTACATTTCAAAAAAAGAAAAATCACCAGCGTGAAATTTTAAAAAGAAAGAAAGAGCCCTGAAGATTGGTCAGATAGATCGCCACAGTTTTCCCTTCAGGCGGTGGTGTGCAGGTAAACGGCAACAGCCAGTTCTGGGTAGCTGGGGAGCCTGGTTTGGTAGCTTTTGCAATTCTTATAGTATAAATGCTCCCACTAAGCCCACTGATTGCTACCGACATGTCTCTGCTGCTGCTGCTGCTAAGTCACTTCAGTCATGCCCGACTCTGTGCGACCCCATAGACTGCAGCCCACCAGGCTCCCCTGTCCCTGGGATTCTCCAGGCAAGAATACTGGAGTGGGTTGCCATTTCCTTCTCCAATGCATGAAAGTGAAAAGTGAAAGCGAAGTCTCTCAGTCATGTCCGACTCCTAGCGACCCCATGGACTGCAGCCCACCAGGCTCCTCCATCCATGGGATTTTCCAGGCAAGAGTACTGGAGTGGGTCTCTACTGCCCCACAAAATTCCTGAGGATGGCTTGCAAGAGCCGGCCTCAGCACTTCACAGCAGAATAGCACTAATAAACTCAAGGGACGATTTTACCACATTTTTCCCCCCAAAATGGAAATGCTTTATTGAATCAGTGAATGACGTATTTAGAACATATGTGCAGGAAAGTGTTTTAAAACAATCTTTTCAAAGCTTCTGCCCTAAAGAGGGTGGGAACAGTATTTGCCACACATGTAATGAACAAAAGACTTGTATCCAGGATTTATAAAGAATTCCTATGAATCAAAAAAAAAAAAAAGAAAGAAAGAAAGAAAAAGGAAATGACAAATGAAGAGAAAAATATGGGCAAAAGGCTTCAGCAGGCACTTCCAAATAAAGGGTGGGGGAAAGGCTGATCAATACATAAAAAGTGCAGGAAAGGTTGTCAACTTCAATAAGAAAATGAAAACAACAGTGACACATTAGAGAGGGTTATTCACCAGCAGAGCGGCAAAACTGACAAAGCCTGGATGGTAGCAGTAGAACTTCAGGGTGGAAACCCCCGGCAGCTTCGGGAACTTCCAGACATGTCTGGTGATATTTTTTCAGCTGCTTTAGAATGTATATCTTTCCACCAGCAATTCCACTCATGCACATTTGCACTGACCCAGGTTCCAGAATGTTCTCAGCAGCATTATTCTTAATAGCTCCAAGCTGGAAGCAGACCAACTCAAATGGCCATTGACAGCAGGATGGATAAATCAAGTGCAAAGGTTTTGATATAACGGAATGTCACAGTGGTGAAAAGGCATGAGACAGGTTTACCTGTATGGATCATACAAACATAGGTGTGGAATCAAAAGACAGAAAAGAACACATAGCATGATTCTGTTCTTTAAAAAAAAAAAAAATCCAGAATCAGGGGAATTCCCTGGTGGTCCTGTGGTTAGGACTTTGCACCACTGTGGAGAATGAGGGTTCAATCCCTGGTTGGGGAACTAAGATCCCACAAGGCACACAGCATTGAAAAAAAAGAAAAAAATCTGGCAAAAATAAATTACAGTTAAGCCCTGTATCTGTGGGTCCCTCATCCGCAGATTTAACCAACCGTGGATGGATCGTGTTTACCTTCTAGGTTAACTGAATCTTCGGCTGTGGAACTGGCTGGCAAATGTGGAACTCTCACATACAGAGGCCCCCCACTATGGGACTTGAGCGTCCTGGGATTTTGTTATTTTCTGCAGATCCTACAACCAGTCCCCTTGCTGATACCATGTTGCTTAAGGATATATGCGCCGATGGTAACAGTACAAAGATAAAAAGGGAAAGGATCATCTCAAAAAGTCAGGACACCCAGCTCCCAGATTTCCGAGTGTAACATCATTCTCCAACCCAAGGAATTGGGGCTCCTTGGTGAAATGGCTGAGTCTAGGCCAGGCAGGGAAGATGTGAGATGAGCCTGGAGCATCTTAGCGAGCCCCATCCAACCAATGGGAGCGATCTGTGCGTCAAAGGGAACAATTCATTGGTCTTGCATGGGGTCAAGTGGCATCTCACCATCTTTTGTTGCCCACAGTGAACTTTCAGCATGTCACCACGGAGTCCTCGACCCTGTGGCCCTTCAGGACAACTATAGCTACATCATTGAGAGGTGAGCCCCGCCCCCCAACACACAGTCACACGTGCACGCTCATACCCATGACCATTTGGCATGCATGTGCCAAAGGCCAAGCAATAATTTTTTTTAATTAATTAAATTTTTGGCCATTCGGAGCAGCATGCAGGATCTTAGTTCCCCAATCAAGGATCAAATCCGTGCCCCTGCAGTGGAAGCTCAGAGTCTTTATCTCTAGACCACCAGGGAAGTCCCAAGAATCATTCTTAAATCATAATGGAAAAGAAAAAATAAATTTAAAGGGAAAAAGAATCATTTAAAATTGATACCATGCCAACTGATCTGGCCAGCAAGGAATCTGAGGGGGTGAGGAGACAGGCAGCAGAGGCGGCCGGGCCTGCGGGGGAACCAGTGTGATGTGGCAGGGTCCCTGGCCCAGGTCTGCCCAGGCTCTGCCACCTGCTGAGCCAGCCTCAGGCCCCTCCCCAGCCTGCCACCAGCTCATGGAGCCCAGCCACTTGCTCGCGCCAACTAGTGGAGTTGGTCAGACAGTCAGCCAAGGTGGGGAATGGGGGTGGCTGGCCATGGTGAACCCTCTATGCAGGGTGGCACAGCAGATTCCACACTGGTGCACACCGCCCATCCCCCTGGCATAGGAGGATACTGGTGTGTCTTATATGACTTGGCTCTCCCCACTGCAATACAAGCCAAGAGTCCATCCCCCATCCAAAGTCTCAACTGAAGTCAAAACTGGTGCTGCCAGGGCTTCCCTTGTTGCTCAGTGGTAGAGAAACTGCCTGCTAACGTAGGAGACACAGATTTGATCCCTGATCCCGGAAGATCCCACATGCCTTGGAGCAATTAAGCCCATGCGCCACAGCTCCTGAGCCTGTGCTCGAGTCCAGGAACCACAACCATTGAGCCCACGGGCCATAACTCCTGAAGCCCGTGTGCTAGAGCCCGTGCTCCACAATAAGAGAGGCCGCCGCAATGAGCAGCCCGTGCACCGCAACTAGCGAGCAGCCCCCGCTCACCGCAACTAGAGCAGAGCCCAAGCAGCAACAAAGACCCAGCACAGCCAAAAATAAAAATAATCAACGGCCTCTGCAAAAAACAAAGCTATGAACAAACTGGTGTTCCTGGGCTTACTGACCAATGAGGCTGCAGCCAGACCTCCTGGGGGCACGAGCGTGTATGAATCAGCGTCTCCAGAGAGAGAGAGAAGCCACAGGATGTGTGTGTGAGATAGACACATAGAGTGACAGGCAGAGATTCACTTTAAGGACTTGGTTCCCTGACTGTGGAGGTTCGGGGGAGGCTGAGGGGCTGGCAGCTCTGCCAGGAGTTGCTGTTCTAGTTCAAGGCCATCTGTGGGCAGACTTCCTTCTCGCTGGGGGAGGCCCTTCTTTGTTGCACTTGGGCCTCTGGCTGCACCCACGTTAGGGCAAGCACTGCTTTCTCAGCCCCAGAGAACAACCTCACAGAAACATCCCGACGTGCGTCTGGCCACAGTCAAGTGCCACAGCAGAGCTCAGAGGACCTAGAAGGTCAACCACCACCCACGGGGGCATCCCAGGGCTCATGCTGACAATGGCTGTGAGTCCCTTGCTCAAACACCCCTCCACGGCTGTGACCGGCCCCATCTGCAGGGAGGAAGTGGGGTGGTGGGCGGGTGGATGTCTGGGCACCTGGGGGAGCTCGCCCATGTCTGTGCCCTGTTTCCCACAGGGAAGCCTATGACCCCAACTTCCAGGGGCAGCAGGCCGAGGAAGACCTGGAGGTGTATTACCCCTATGAGAAGCTGGGCTGCCCCCTCCTCGCCTACTATGACACCCCGTGGAAGCCAGTGGTGGAGCTGTGAGACACCCCCCAGACGCCCCAAATCGCCCCCCGTCCTCCCCACCCCTCTGTCCAGGCTGCATCCTCACCCTGTCTTTTTCCTCCGCAGCTCCCAGCTTGCACACCTTTCCCCTTCCCCATCTTAACTCAGTGGCTTTAACAAAACACACCAGGGACTGGGCTGGGTGGTGGGCGTGGAAGTGGGGGGGCACATGGGCACTGACTTTCTCACAGTCCCGGAGGCTGGAAGCCCAAGATCAAGGTGTCTTGCGGTGTCTCGCCCTCTTCCCATGGCACCAGGGCCCACCCTTAGGACCTTGCTCCATCTTGATCTCCTCATTAAAGCTTCCAGCTCCAAATATAGTCTCAATGGCGGGTTAGGACTTCACATAGGAATTTGCGGGGGCGGGCACCTTTCAGGTTATTGCACTCACTCTGGCCCCTTCCATGGATTCTGTCTTCTTTCATCTGATCCTGCCCTCAACATGCCCCCAGCCCGCCCCCACTGAGGATCATTGGACTGAATTGTTGACAACTAAATGATGGTGGGAACTTCAACACGTGGAAACATTTAGGTTCATTAGAGCATCTCCGGTGGGGCTTCTTTGGTGGCCCAGGGGTTAAGACTGCATACTTCCAGCACTTCCACTGCACAGGCAGGGGTTCGATCCCTGGGTCAGGAAGATCTCCTGGAGGAGGGCATGGCAACCCACTCCAGGATTCTTGCCTGGAGAATCCCATGGATAGAGGAGCCTGGCGGGCTACAGTACATAGGTTCTCAAAAAGTTGGACATGATTGAGGCAATTAACACTCATACTTTTCCATCAGAGAAGGGTGTAAGCCCCAGCCTGGCAGGAGACAAATGTGCATTCAAAAATAAGAATTAGGGGGTGGGGCACGGGGCTTGGCTGCACAGGTTGCAGGATCTTAGTTCCCCAACCAGGACTCAAACCTGGGTCCCCAGCAGTGGAAGCTCAGAGCCCTGACCACTGGACCATCAGGGAATTCCCTCAAAATTACGGATTTAGAACAACTCTAGTTCATCACCCTAGAACATCTGCAGGTGTCAGAATTAAATCGACGCCTGTTCCCCCCCCCCCTCACCTGGTCAGCGCCCGCTGTCCCTACCTGCCACTGGGAATCAGGGTTGAATGTCCCAGATGCGTTAGCTTGGGGGTGGTGGTGGGAGAAGGCGTCCACCCCCAGATGAGACAGTTTCACCAGCCCGGCATAGCTGGGCCTCCTGGCCTCCTGCAGCCTCGCCTGTACGTGCCTTGTCCCAGGTGGCGCGAAGGCAAGTTCCAGGAGGTGGTGGAGGCCGAGTATGTCCTGCTGGAGATGAACGGGCTGTTCACCTACACGTACTCCCTGACAGCTGGCACGGCAGGCTGCAGTGCCCAGCCGCAGAACTGGACCACCATCACTGAGATGGCCGGCGACACAGTGTCCTTCTCCTGGGACCGCGAGGTAAGGGCTGTACTCTTGAGTGGTCCCAGTGCAGGCCTGGGAAGGCGACATCCGGTCATGCGCAGTGTGTGCTGGGGGCCTGCTCGACCTGTGCGGGCTGCTGCTAACCGAACACCAGAGACCCCAGGGGCTTTTACCAGCCGCATGGGTTTCTCACCGGTCCTGGAGGCTGAAGTTCAACCTCAAGGAGCCAGCAGATTTGGGGTCTGGTTCATGGGTGACACCTCCTGTGTCTTCACAGAGCAGAAGGGGTGGGGGAGCTCTTCCAGATGCCTTTGCTCCCAGATGCATGTTCAGTCCTGTCCAACTCTGCAATCACATGGTCTGTGGCCCCACTACTGCCCGCTCCGTGCCCTCCCCCTAACAGGGCTCCTCTGTGCCTGGGATTCTCCAGGAAAGAATACTGGAGTGGGTTGCCATTTCCTACTCCAGACCCAGGTCCCTTTATAAGGACACTTATCTCCTAATGACACAGAACAACTGGTTCAAAATTGGGAAAAGAATACGACAAGGCTGTGTATTGTCACCCCGCCTATTTAACTTAAACGCAGAGTACATCATACGAAATGTCGAGCTGGATGAATCACAAGCTGGAATCAAAATTGCTGGGAGAAATATCAACAACATCAAATAGGCAGATAATACCACTCTGATGGCAGAAAGTGAAGAGAAACTAAAGAGCCTCTTGAGGAGAGTGAAAGAGGAGAGTGAAAAAGCTGGCTTGAAACTCAACATTCAAAACACTAAGATCATGGCATCCCGTCCCATCACTTCATGGCAAATAGAAGGGGAAGAAGTGAAAGCAGTGACAGATCTTATTTTCTTGGGCTGCAAAATCACTAAGGACAGTGACTGCAGCAGTGAAATTAAAAAGACTCACTGGAAGTAAAGCTGTGAGAAACTTAGCGTATTAAAAAGCAGAGACATCACTTTGCCGACAAAGGTCAGTATAGTCAAAGCTATGGTCTTTCCAGTAGTCATGTACAGATGTGACAGTTGGACCACATGGAAGGCTGAATGCCAAAGAATTGGTGCTTTCCAACTGTGGTGCTGAAGAAGACTCTTGAGAGACCCTTGGACGGCAAGGAGATCAAACCAGTCAAACCCAAAAGAAATTAACCCTGAATATTCATTGGAAGGCCTGTTGCTGAAGCTCCAATCCTTTGGCCACCTGATGCGAACAGCCAACTCATTGGAAAAGACGCTGATGCTGGGAAAGATTGAAGGCAAAAGGAGAAGGGTGGCAGAGGATGAGATGGTTAGATAGTATCACCACTCAATGGATATGCATTTGCGCAAGGTCCAGAAGATAATAAAGGACAGAGGAACCTGGCTTGCTGCTGTCCATGGGGCCCCAAAGAATGGGACACGACTTAGCGACTGAACGACAAACAAAATCTCCTTCCCGAGTACTCCACCCCTATGACCTACTGCCTCCCAAAGGCCCCACCTCCTAATTCATCACCTTTGGGGGGTATGGTTCAACATATGACCTCTAGTTGGTTGACACAGGCATTTAGTCTCTGAATAGCTGGGGTGTTGGATGCTGGTAATGTAAGATGCACAAACCCTTTGGGAATCTCTACCAAGGGAATGACTAGACGATCAGAGGTGTCAGGACCAAGGCGTTCATGGAGCACACTGCTGATGATGAACAAAACTCTGGAACCATCCAAATGCCCATTATGTAAGGGGCTGATTATATTTACGGTTCTGCTCAGCGAGCGTTTCTGTTACGAGCGTTGGTTGGTACACGATTGACAAATAGAGGTCTGGTGACAGTGAAAGGAACACGTCGCTTTGGTCCTGGGTGCGGAAGGGAAGCTTGTGGTGCGCAGTAGTCTCCAGCCGCCATCTGCCTCTCAACGCCAAGGGCGCGAACACAGCGCAATGCTGCCACATCACCAGCAGGGCGCGCGCGCTACCTGCGTCCGAAGCCGGTTCCAGCGCCGACTCCGGGCTCCTTAATTTTGTACTTGTTTTCAGAGCCAGCAGCCTCACCCTTCTTCACACCTCATTCCGTCCAGTGAGTTTGAGAATTTATTTGGTTGGTGACATTGTGTTTGTTGTTGTTGTTTTTAATCAAGGTAAAATTCACATAACCTATAATGAATTTTTTTTTAGTGTAAAAAGTACAACTCACAACTTGGGCGTTTTGTGCATTCACGATGTTACCCAAGCACCACCTCTCTGACCATTTCTTTAAAAAGTACAAGCCACACACATACAACTTTTTTTATTATTTTCTGACTGTGCTGGTGTTTGCATTACTTTTTATTAGCCCTCTCATTCAAAGTGGCACACATTCATTTAAGAGACTGTCCTGTTGCTTTTTTCCCATCAGCCCTGGTGGGCGATTTTATAGAACCCCGAGGGTTTTTCTATCAAGATAGAGCCGAAGTGCCTGCATTTCCAGCATGATCATTAGATGGGCAGTTATGTAGCTACTTAGCCAAGCCATGGGGTGCAGCTAGCTATAAAAAATAATAACAGTAATGAGTCTTTAGGCTAAGCAGCTGTCCCCCTTATTAAATTTCACATAGCTTTTATGTGGTCCAACTCCCCTCCCCTTTTACTCTCAAAAGATTTTTAAAAATTTTTCTTAATTGTTGAGCACTTCCCTGGTGGTCCAGTGGTTAAGATTACAAGTTCTCAATGCAACGGGCTGGGTTCAATCCCTGGTCATGTCGCCAGATCCTTCATACCTTAGTGGAGTGGGTTGCCATGCCGTCCTCCAGGGAATCTTCCCCATACAGGGCTCAACCCATGTTTCTAGCGTCTCCTGCATTGGCAGCTGGGTTCTTTACCACTAACACCACCTGGGAAGCCCCAACTAACAGCAGGCACAGCCAAATAAATTTTAAAAATAATTAAAAAAGTGCTCAGACACGTGCACCCCAATGTTCATCGCAGCACTGTTTATAATAGCCAGGACATGGAAGCAACCTAGATGCCCATCAGCAGACGAATGGATGAGGAAGCTGTGGTGCATATACACCATGGAATATTACTCAGCCATTAAAAAGAATTCATTTGAATCAGTTCTAATGAGATGGATGAAACTGGAGCCCATTATACAGAGCGAAGTAAGCCAGAAAGATAAAGACCATTACAGTATACTAACACATATATATGGAATTTAGAAAGATGGTAACGATAACCCTATATGCAAAACAGAAAAAGAGACTCTGATGTATAGAACAGACTTGTGGACTCTGGGAGAAGGCGAGGGTGGGATGTTTCAAGAGAACAGCATCGAAACACGTATATTATCTAGGGTGAAACAGATCACCAGCCCAGGTTGGGTGCATGAGACAAGTGCTCGGGCCTGGTGCACTGGGAAGACCCAGAGGGATCGGGTGGAGAGGGAGGTGGGAGGGGGGACCGGGATGGGGAATATATGTAAATCCATGGCTAATTCATTTCAATGTATGACAAAACCCACTGCAATGATGTAAAGTAATTAGCCTCCAACTAATAAAAATAAATGAAAAAAAAAATAATTAAAAAAAATTTTTTTTTAAATTGTGGTCAAACATACAGGGACAGATGGAGAAGGCAATGGCACCCCACTCCAGTACTCTCGCCTGGAAAATCCCATGGATGGAGGAGCCTGGTAGGCTGCGGTCCATGGGGTCGCAAAGAGCCGGGTACGACTGAGCGACTAACACTTACTTATACATAACATAAAATTGACCATTTTAAATATTTCTAAGTGCACAGCTCAGTGGCATTAAGCACATTCACATTGTCCTGCAACCATCCCCACCATCATCTCCAGAACTTTCTCTTCTTCCCAAACTGAAACTCTGTCCCCATGAAACACTGACTCCTGTCCCCTTCCCCTGGCACCTGACCCCCACTATCTACTTCCTGTCTCTAAGGATCTGACTCCTCTAGAGGGTCTCACATGGGTGGGATCAGATGGTGTTTGTCCTTTTGTGTCTGGCTTACTTCCCTGAGCATCACGTCTTCACGGTTCATCCATGTTGTAGAGGGTGTCAGAAACCCCTGTAATATCCCTTTAGTGTGTATGAACCGCACTTTGTCTATCCATCATCTGTCAGTGGACGTTTGGGTTGCTTCGACATTTTGGCTACTGTGAATGGTGCTGCTGTGAACTCAGGAGTGCAAGTATCTCTTCGAGACCTTGCTTTAGTTCTCTGGTGTCACTTCTTACAAAAGAAATAATCCCTTTATAGGGGCCTTACCCTCAGGACCTCATCAAATCTCTTTCCAATGCCCCACCTCCAAATACTATCCCACTGGGGGATGTTCATCAACATGTGAATGGGGTTGGGGATTCAGACATTCAGTGCCTGGGCTTCTCCTGACAGCGGCTTCTTTTGTTACAGAGCTCGGGCTTTAGGACACCGGCACTTCAGTACTTGCTACGTGCGGGTTTAGTTGCTCTGCCCATGTTCCACAGCTACTAAACCTGTGCTCCAAAGCCCAGGAGCTGCAGCTACTGAGCCCACATGCTAGAACTACTGAAGCCTGTGTGCTCTAGAGCCCAAGTTTCACAACAAGAGAAGCCACTGCATTGAGAAGCCCTTGTACCGCAACTAAAGAGCACGCCCTGCTCTCCGCAACTAGGGAAAAGCCCAAGCAGCAACGAAGACCCAGCACAGCCAACAATTAATATATAAATAACTTAATTTTTAAAAAGACCTCGTCTCCAAATAAGGACACTGCCCAAGGCCCAGAGGGTTAGGACTTTCCCCATCTGATTTGGGGAGGAATTCAAGCCAGCTCATAAAAAACATTGAGAGTGCATGTATCAGACTCACACCCAGACTCAGAGCTGCAAGGGACCCTGAGGAGTGGAGTTGTTTTGCCTGCAGCCCGCCTCAAGCTTGGGCAGGCCAGGAAGGAGGAGGGCAGGAGGAAGGAGCCACACTCACAAACTGGCTGGCCTGCCCAGCGGGCACCTGGCCCCGGACTCACTGCCACGTACGCTGGCAGACGGTGGTGCACCATGGGGTGTGTCAGAGGGCTCCCACAGGCCTCCCCGACCCCCAGGGCCAGCGGGCACGCCTTTGTCCTCCTCCCCAGAATTACATGAGCTGCCACGACCCCGACTACCACGAACCCTTGAGATGGCCTGACGTCCCGTATCAGATCTTGGGAGGCCCAACAGAGAACAAGGTTGTTTTCGACCAAAGAAATGGCATCTACATCTTCTTCATTTCTATCGTGGATCCATCCTACAGGTGAGTGGGTGGGGGGAGTCGCCGTGCACCAGGGGCCCCTGGGGAGACAGCTGGTGCTTCTAGGGCAGGTCCCACACGTGTGTGGGACCCACTGTCTGCCACCCTTAGGCAGGTCCTGGATAAACCTGAATCTCCCAACAGCTCAGACCACCCCCGGGAAAAGTGATACTTTAAGTCATGGATGGCATTTGTTCACTCGCTAAGTAAATCTTTATTCAGAGGCCACGCCAGGCCCTGGGGGAAATAACAATGCCCAGCAGCACCCCTATCCCTACCCTGGGGATTCAGAGTCACCCCATGGCTATGTCTCACTGGTGGGTACAGACAGGCTCCCAAGCTCCCAGGATATTCAGGAAGTCTGCAAGCCGTCTGACTTGCCATTGGTAATTTGAAATCAGCACCGGCCAGAGTGTTAACACCACAGAAACTGACACAGGTTATGTGTCAGGGGAGGCCAGGCCCTCCCAGGCACCCCACCCCTGCCCTAACAGCTGGGTGTTAATATTCACCACCCACTTGTGCTGGATCAAACTGTGAGCATCTCCCACTAGGAGGGGGAACGTGGGCGGCATTCTTTCCCCCATCACGTTTCCCCTCCAGATGGACACAAAAGCCACCCTCAAAAACTTTGGGGGACCCTGCCTTCCCTCGGGGCCCAAGACCAGACCACCTCTGGGACGTCAGGGGTGGAAGGCTGGGGAGACCCTGGGGACACCCGGTGGTGGGGGGGAAGGGGCCTGCCTGGGAGCCTCAGCCCATCCCCTCCCCCCACCTGCCTCCTGCAGTTTCCCTGTCTACTCGCCCTCTGGGTCTTCTTACCTGGGTGACCTCCATCCTGCTACCCCCATTTCAGGGAGGCTGTGTCCCCTGTCGCACCCCCGCTGTGTGAGGAACAGTTTCTTGGCCTCTTCTGCCCCACCCCCAAGATAGCCTGGGCATGGAGGGGAGACCCCTTGTCCCCAGAACAGGGGGCCACAGGGTCCCTGGGGGAAAATGTGACCTCTGCGAAATACAAAGAGGATGACAGATCAGAGGAGAGAGAAGTGGGTGCGAATGGAACTCAGGGTCCCGAGTCACACTCCAGGCCCAGCTGTCATTCCCATGGGTTTTAAAAATGTTTGCTGGGGGAATTCCCTGGCAGCCCAGTGGTTAGGGTTCCTTGCTTTCATGGCCGTGAGCCCTGGTTCAATCCCTGGTCAGAGAACTAAGATCCCACAAGCTGAGCAGAGCGGCCAAAACGAAAAAGCTTGCTGGGGTGAAGGGCGGGGCCCCTGAAGGCGGTGCCCCATAGACTCGGCCCGCCCACCCCTCGCAGCTACTGCCACCTGGAGACCACCTTCAGTGTCTATGTCTACGGGGCCTTCCCGCTGTCCATCTTCCCGCCGGAGATCACCATTGTCCTGCTCACGGTGACCACCCTGCTGTCCGTGTGGCTGGCTTACATGATCCCCCAGCTGCTGCACATGGAGCAGGACCTCGAGGTCAGCGGCTTCTGGGCCAGACTGTACCAGAGATGCAGGAGCTCTTGTGCGTGTCTCTGGGGCAGGTGCTGAGCACCCATGGCGGGAGGGAATGCCAGGGAGAAGGCAGAGTTGCTGTAGAGGGTTTGTGAAAATAGCCAGTGGCAGTGTGAATCACTTGTGTTTTGTGGTTTTTCTACACCCATCAGCTTCCCTGGACATCCTGGCATCAGAGTCCCTCTTAACTCTAGCACCTACATGTGTAAGGATATAAGGATAAGGAGGACAGCCCAAGTCCTAATAAACAGGAGTTTGGTGGGGACTTCCCTGCTGGCCCAGTGGTTGGGACTTCACGTTGCAGGGGTTCAGTCCCTGGTTGGGGAACTAAGATCCCACAAGCCATTCAGCGTGGCCAAAAAAAAAAAAAAAAAACTGAACAGGAGCTTGGAGAAACGAGCTCACCCACACACGTGGTGTGCTCACCTGCAAGCCCCTGAGATATATCAGACACAGGACAAGTTCTGTTAGAGAAGGATGGGACCCGAGGAAGGGGGTGTGGGTCCATCTCTGCTGATAAGCCCTGATGTACATTCAAATGAACACATGTAGACTTGTGGGATGTCCGTGAACTAGATTTGTAAGCATAGTACATATTTTATATGTACATGTGTTAGGCATACACATAGATACAGATGGTGTGCATATATATACAGAGATGTACAAACGTATATAGCATGGGTGAAGCATACCCATACATATGTGTAGATAATGTGCATGTGTGTGTATGCATATTGTATATGTGTTGATATGTGTGGGTATTTGTGTGGATATTGCACACGTGTATATCTGCAATTGATACACGTGTGTACATGTCTATGATACACATTCATGTAAACATGTGCATGTATATGTGGGTGATATGTCACACAAGTGTATATGTATAATGTGCATACAACTGCACACATACATTTATGGGTAAATGTGTGCATACACATAAGTAACATGGACGCCTGTCTACAAGCACACAAGTACACATGCAGACATATAAATATACACGTGAATACATAGATAGGTATGTATACACGTGTGTATGCAATGTACACATAGATGGATATGTATGTTGGATCAGTCTGTCCCTGTGTTCAGCGGGCTTCCCTCTCCCACACATCCTTCAAATTCCAGGTGGTGCGGGACACCGTCTCATTCTAGTGAAAACTTTCTCCGTAACTTTTCTGATCACTCTTAGGTTAACAGAACACATCCCGTGGTCATTTACTTGCTCTGTTTGTTTTTGGCCGTGGCTGGAGGCATGTGGGATCAAACTAACAGTTCCCCGTGGTGTGTGCTATGCTTAGTCGCTCAGTTGTGGCCGACTCTTTGCCACCCCACAGACTGTAGCCCGCCAGGCCCCTCTGTCCATGGGATTCTCCAGGCAAGAATACTGGAGTGGGTTGCCATGCCCTCCTCCAGGGGATCTTCTCAACCCAGGGATCGACTCCAGGTCTCCCGCATTGCAGGCAGATTCTTTACTGCCTGAACCACCAGGGAAGCCCATGAATACTGGGTAGCCTATCCCTTCTCCAGGGGATCTTCCTAATCCAGGAATTGAACCGCGGTCTCCTGCATCGCAGGCGCATTCTTTACCAGCTGACCTACCAGGGAAGCCCTAATAGTCACCCGACCAGGGATCAAACCCAAGCCCCCTGCAGTGGAAGCTTAGTCTTAACCACTGGACCCCCAGGAAAGTACCCCTTCCACGCCATGGTCATTTAAATGGCCTAATACAGGGGCTTCCCTTGCAGTCCAGTGGTTAGGACTTGGCATTTTCACTGACATGGGCCCAGGTTCAAGCCAGTCATTTTGTTCCACCATCGGGGGCTGAGTTGCTCTGCCCCATCCACCCACCAGGCCTGATGTGGGGGGCGGTCACGCGATGGGATGCCATGTTTCACGATCCTCAGTCCACATTAATCTTACAGAAAAGCAAGCGCCTCCCCTCACATCCACCTTGCTTGCCAGGGGCTCCCCGTCACTGGGGGCATTTCATATGTCTCAAAAACACCCATTAACGTGGCTGCAGAGAGGGCTCCAAGGGAGGTGAGGGCAGTGAGCTCCTGGCTTCTCGAGGCCCATGTCCCATTCAGAGAAGAGTCAGGTAAGTGCAGGTGAAGACTTGGGGCTGCCCCCGCCTCCCTGAGCCTTGGAACAGGCTTCAGGGAGACAAGCCCTGTAGGCTCGAGGTGTGGTGCCAGCACATGGGATCCCCCACCCACACCCGACATCTCCTGGACCCCAGTCAAGCCCCCCAGGTTCCCAGCAGAGTCCAAGAGTGAAAGCCCCTGAGACCCAGCCCTGAATCTGGGGCAAGAGGGCCCTTACTCCTGCAGGTGAGGGAAGCAGGTGGGGCTGGCCCACTCCAGAGGTGAGCTCCATCTCTCCTTGTTTGTTGTTTTCTTGCTAAGTCGTGTCTGACTCTTTTGGAATCCCATGGACTGTAGCCCGCCACCCTCCTGTGTCCATGGGATTCTCCAGACAAGAATACAGGAATGGGTTGCCATTTCCGTCTCCAGGGGATCTTGCTGACCCAGGGTCAAACGCTTGTTTCCTGCATTGACAGGTAGACTTGTGACCACTGAGCCACCAGGGAAGCCCCCAACTCACCTTACCTCCTTGCACGTCACCCCCTCCAGGGTCATCTTGAGTATTTCAGGGGAGGGTATGAACAGCAGCTGCTCCAGACTCTCCAGTGGGAAGGGCTGAAGAGAGCCTGGCCTGGGACCCACAGGGGTGGGAGCCATGTGGATGCAGTGGGAGGAGCCCAGGCAGGAGGGAACAGGGGTGAGAACTGAAATCCCAGGCTCCCCGTGCCTGCCACGCATGGCCGGGTCCAATGAGGGGACGTGGCCCCCTGCCCATCTTGGGACAGGCATGCCCACCCGGGCCTCGGGCTTCACCTGGGCTGCAGTTGCACTCTGCACGCCCCATCACATGCGGGCCTGTTCTCGACTACCCATGTACCAGGTGGGCAACATCTCCCACATCCCTTCCCAGGCCCCACCCTCAGACCTCAGGTGCCTCCACCTCCAACCAGCACCTGCCTCCACACCCCAGCTCTCTGCATGAACATGGGTGGAGGCCCGCCCCTTCACCATTGGCGACAACACCTGCCCTGCCAGGCGGGTGGAGGCTGAGCCCAGCCTGCAGGCCTCTCTAAGGCCTTCCCCCCTCCCACCAGTAGTGGCTTCAGAGGGACGGTCGGGGATAGGCAGGCCACTCCCCAACTCCCGCATTTGCTGTGTGTCTCCAGGCCAGTCGCTACTCATCTCTAGGCAGCCCTGACTTTCCCGGTCAAACACAGAAGTGAAATTCTTGCAGTGTAGGAGTCAGGCAGTTTCCACCTCTCCAAAGTGCCGGCTGACTTGGATTCTCTCTGGATTTAGAATCCCAAATCCGAATCTAGGGCTCGCCCACTCTGCTCCATAAGTCCAGCACCCTCGGGGTCCTGCAGAGCCTCACCCCGTGGCCTGGGGCCCATTGTACAACAGCGAGGGCATGGGGACGCCCTGACACCACTAGGCGGACACAGCACTGAGAGATCAAATCTGCTTTAATGGGGGGTGGCCCCCAGGTCCTGCCGGGGCCCTGAGGAGGCAGCGCTCGTAGGACCCGTGGCCTGCTTGCCCTTGCTGCCCTGCCGCCCCTTCTTGGTGGTGGAACTGCCAGTCTTCCTTTTGCCAGGGGGCTCAGCCCGGGGGGCAGAGGCTGTGGTATTGGCAGCGGGGGGCCCCGGACGGGGCAGTGGCTCCTCATCCAGTGCCTTAAAGTTGAAGAAGTAGTCCACGTTGGAGACAGTGTCCAGGATCTCAGGCACACTGTAGTCGAAGGACAGCAGCTCGTCGGGCAGGTGCAGCGAGTGGATGTCACTGGAGGAGGAGTCGTCGCCGCCGCCCCCACCGTTGGGCAGGGCTGGCCCAGGGCCCAGGGGCTTGCGAGGAGCCCCTTCGGGCTCAGTACCGCCCGGCAGGCAGTCGAAGAGCTTCATCGCATCCTCCAGCAGCACCTTCTCGGGCAGTGCAAAGGCCCGGGCCACCTCGGGGGTTCTGGCCTCGCCTGCCCCTAGTGGAGCCACCTCGGCATCAGCTGCCTTGGGTTCGGCAGGGCCCGGTGGGTACAGCGGGCCGGGGGGTGGCTCCTTGACTGGGAAGGTCAAGGGCTCCCCAGGCCCTTGCAGTTGGCTCAGGCGGCCCTTGAGGTGGCTGTAGGTGCCCGGGGGCAGTGTGGCCTCGGTGGGCAGCGTGATGAGCAGCGAGGGCAGCTTGCTCTCCTTGGGGGGCGGTGGGGGCGCCAGGCCCTCCTTGATCAAGGGCAGGGGCAGCTCCATGAAGGCGGGCGGCCCCCCAACCCCCAGGAAGCCCACGGTCTCGGGCCCCAGCCCCTCAGGCGGGAAGTATGGCAGGAGGTACTGGGGGTCCCCCGGGGGCGGTGGCTGGTAGTGGGGGTATGGTGGGGGCGGTGGAGGCGGCACCGGGGCCTTGAGGTAGTGCTGGGGCTCCAGGAGGTAAGTGCCTGGTGAGGTGGGGGCCCCAGCTGGCCCCACATCGCCCACGGCCACCAGCTTGTACAGGGACGACTGGCCAAAGTCGGTGGCGGCCCACTCGATTCGGTAGATGCGGGGGTCAAAGAAGCACCCACAGGGTGCCATCTGGAAACCTACGGCCAGGAGGGTGGCCCTCAGAGGGGCAGTGCTGGGACCCACCTGGGGGGCACATCAGGGGGACACAGGACACGGACCAGCCCTGGGGTCCATTTGGGGGACGAGGACATAGGCTTTGCCTCTGGGGGTTTAGCTACTGGTCTGGGGCCCCAGGACGTGCTTTGGGGGCTCATCGGGGTGGGGGGTGGCTGGAGACACAGACCTGGCTTTGGGGAACCTGACAGGGGGACAAGAGTCATGGGGCTGCCTTACTGTCAGAGCCCCATCGAGGGGATGAGGGACACTTGCCTTGCTTTGGAGTCGGAAGCCATCTAGGGTTAGGGGTGGTGACGAGATGGCCCCGCCCACTCCCCAGTCCTCAAGGGTTGGCGGGAGGCCAGTACCTGCTGGAGGGGTTGGGAACACCTCCTTCTCCGGGGTTGGGGGGTGGTACAGGTTGGAGGAACCTGTGGACAAAAGCAGGCAGGCGGGTGGGGCCCTGGGGCTGGCGAACAGAGCCCCGGTCCCTGCCCCCATGGCCGCACCCCACCCCACCGACTCATACCCACAGCGGACAGAGGCTCTGTGCAGGCAGGAGTGGGCTGGCTGCCCAGCCCATCAGTGGCATCCAGGCCCTGGGGACCAAAGCCTTCTTGGGGAGCTGTGTGTGCGTAGAAGGGCTTGGGATGCTGCATAGGGAGGCGGGGGCCCGGCCCAGGCGGGCCAGGAGGGCAGCAGGTGGGGAGCACAGGTGTCCCACCCAAAGAACAGGCTCAGAGTCCTGTGGAGTTCTGTTTGTCTGGTTACTCCGGGCAGCGGGTTCCAGGCTGCGGCCCGCCCACTGGTCGGAGTTCCGGGTAATGGCGGAGTGGGGAGTGGGCAGGGGTGGACCAAGAAACCAAGGGAACCAGAGATGGGCATCACAGAGGGTATGGTGGACCTCGGGTGCAGTCTGCTGAGTCTTCCACCTCTGCCAGCGTGGCTTGCCAGTCAGCTCTGAGGCCCCTTCCTCCAGGCAGCCCACCCTGATCCACACTCAGGTAGGCCGAGGCCCCATCTCATGGGCTCTGATGGCTTCTTTGTTGTCAAGGCCTTTTGGGCACCAGCAGTGGCCAGCACAGGGCTGGTGAATGAGTGAAGGGATGAGGGGGATGTGGGGGTGGGGATGGCAGGGGGCCAAGGGCAGCCTCAGGATCACAGAAAGGCTTGGGTTTTAGAAGAATAAAATTTATTGTCTTCTCACGCTTTAGGGGGCCCTCTGGATACTCAGATGCCCCTCCTGCCCCTGTGGCTACTTGTAGGCATTGGCCTTGTGCTTGGGCAGGAAGACGAAGTTGGGCGGGACAGGTCCCAGCAGCATCTCACTGTGGGGAGGGAGGCAGGTGGCCGGGGTCAGGCCTGGCGCGGGGCGGCCCCCAATCCAGCTCACCCCAGACCCACCAAGCCCTCGATCCTCCTGTCCCCCAGGGCCTCAGCTCCCGGGCACCTGATGCGAATCCAGTCGGCTGCCTTCTGGCTGGCCATGAGCGTCTCCAGGTAGTCGCGGCCCAGGTAGTAGGGTGGCCGCTCGTTGATCCGCTGCGGGAGCCGCTCCAGCAGGCCCACGGGCACATACCTGTGGGCGGGGGCAGTGGGAAAGGGGCTGGGCTGGGGCTCCCCACACACTGTGCCTGGCTCTGCCCCGAGGCCCCATCCTACCTGCACAGGAAGGAGAGCCACTCGAGGAGGAAGCGGCGCGTCTTCTCCACGCCCTGAGTGTCTGAGCCCCAGTGCTCCAGGCCGTAGTGCGTGAAGTCCCGCAGGATGTCCAGGCGCTCGGACGATGAGATGTCCCAGTGCCTCTGCTCCTTGATCTCCGTGAACAGCCACGGCTTGAGCAGGGCGCCACTGGGGGCGGGCAGCGGGCGACGGTCAGTGGGCCGGTGGGGAAACCCCGGCCCCCAAAACCACGGTCCCCAGCCTCCCAGTCATACGCTCACATGACTCTCAAAGCCAGAGAATTCTGGGACTTCGCTGCTGGTCCAGTGGCTAAGACTCCATGCTCCCAATGCAGGGGGTCTGGGTTTCATCCCTAGTCAGGAAACTACACCCTACATGCCCCAACTAAAAATTCCACATCCCATAATAAAGATCAAAGTTCCCACATGCTGCAACTAAGACCTGACACAGCCAAATTAAAAAAAAAAAGTCTGAGAGTTCCAAGCTATGGCTCTAAGGCCACAACTGCAGCCCCCAGGCCCACGCACCGCGCGATCATGACCCCTGCGACACCGGTCTGCAGGGCTCGGTTGGCATCCTCGTAGGACAAGACGTCTCCATTCCCTGAAGGACAGAGGCCAGGGTCTCAGGGAGCCACGTCGGGTGGCGGTGCCAGGGCATGAGGAGTTCTCGCCAGCCCGGGAGCCCCCCATTGGGGAAGGGAGGGACCCAAGCGAGGGGTGGGCCTGGGTGTGTGGCCTGTGGGCACCCACCGAAAAGGGGCATGGGGTGGGCTGCCGCCACGCACTGCTCGATGTACTGCCAGTCGGCCAACTTGGTGTAGCGCTGCTCCCGCGAGCGGCCGTGGAGCTGGAGGAGAGGCGGCCGCGTGGGGAGGGACGGAGGGGCCGGGGAAGTGGAGGATCAGAGAGAGAGAGAGAGAGAGAGAGAGACCCAGAGAGCCCAGCAGAGACGGACTGAGAGAGAGAGAGACAGAGAGATGGACAGACAGAGACAAGAGATGGAGGGAGAGCCAGAGACCAGGAGAGAGGAGACGGGAGGGAGGGATGGTTAGAAAGGGAAGTGCCTTGGGGCCCCGCCGCCCGCCGCACCCCGAGACCCACCGTGACCAGAGCCGCCCCCCAGGCCCGCAGATCGGGCAGCAGTCGGTGGGCCAGATTCACACGCTCCTGGACACCCGTGCGCAGCTTCACGGTCAGCGGCACGTCCAGCACCTGTGGAAACAGGGGTGATCTGCAGCAGGGCCTCGGGTTGGGCAGTGAGGGCTGTGGACGGTCATCTTGGGCAGTACCTGGTTCATGCCGCGGACGATCTGCTGGAACTTGGCCAAGCGGTTCATGAGGGCACAGCCCCCACCCTGGGAGAGACAGGCGGCTGGAGCTCGGGAAGGCAGGACCCAGGCTGGACCTGATGCCAGCTCCCACCCCACCACTGCCTTCCTTGTCCAGATGCAGAAAGTAAGGCCCAGAGCCCCCACAGATTCCTAGGGGCTCCACCCTCACCCACTCTGAACATTGGGTACCTTCTTGAACACGAGATCAATGGGGCAGCCAACATTGATGTCCACGAAATCCACCTCGATGGTGCGGTTCAGCAGCTCGGCACATTTGGTCATGGTGTCAGGAAAGGCGCCTTCAAGCTGTGGCCGGGTGGGTGGGCAGGGGGTGAGGGGCCGTCCTGCCTGGCCCCGTGCCGAGGCTATCAGCTCCTCCAGGTGCGTCAGGCTGGCACGTGACCAGTAGCTGAGGCAGGGGGTCTGGGAGGTGATCCAGGAGAGCCTGACCCTGCACCTGGCTCTGACAGGTTAACAGCCAAGAGTCCCTCCTCCTTCCCTTCCTCGGGGCGGCACCAACCTGGACGCCAAAGATATCCTCGCAGGGGTGGCGCTTGAGCAGGGCCCACTCGGACGTCTGGCCCTGTAGCAGGTTAGTGCACACAGCCATCTCCCCGCAGGTCACATCTGCCCCGAAGCGCTTACAGATCCGGCGGAAGGGCAGGTTGCCACACTGGGAACAGTGGAATGCACACATAAGGGCATGGTAGGCTAGGACCCCAGACACACACCCAAGCCCCCAGGGCAGGGGGACCAGTGGGTACTGCTGTGATGAGCACATTGCCAGCACCTGCCCACCCCGTTGTGGGCCCTACCGTGGTGAGTGGGGCCAGGTACAGCTTGCCACTGATGTCCAGCTGAAAGGGAAAAAAAGCACATTGAATCTCCACCCACGAATCTGGCTTTCGAGGCCTCTCAAGCCTCAAGCCTTCCCATAGGCTTTGTCCTGCCCCAGTGAGTCTGGCTCCTTTTCACCTCCACGCCTCTGCACAGGTCACCTAATCCCTCCATGAGGAAACTTCCTTTCTCCATGCTTTTCTCTGCTAGAGAGCTTCTACTCAACCATCGAAGCCCCAGTCCCAACGCCCTCCCTTCTAGGAAGCCTTTTCCACTGCCCCCCTGTTACAGCCTGGACCCTCTGGAGCTGGGAGTAAGTGTCCAGCTCTGTCCACTCCCGGAACTGCTAGTGTCCTCAGCGGGGGCCCATGACACATACCCGCTGCTTCTCATGGGGCCTCAACCTGACTACATCCTCATCTGTCAGGGGTCCGCAGGTCCTTAAAAGGCCACTGGGAGGGCCAACGGTGTCCGGTTCCTGGGGGGCCAGCTGGATGTCACAGTTATCCTGCCCTGGGGCACCCTCAGCCTCCCTGCCCTCAGGGACAGTGGCTTCAGAGGTGGGGCCTGGCAGCGGGCCCCTGCTCAGCTGGCGCAGAGCCTGCTCTGCACGCTTGAAGTGGATCTTCCTTTTTCGCAGCTGCTGCTGCAGGGCCTTGTCCAGGCTGTTGCGGACGGGCGGCGCCTGGACCAACCCCTCCCTCACCAGATTCTGGCCCTCGGGCCCCAGATGGGCCCCGGCAAAGCGGCAGGTTACACCATAGGGGCACCTGCCGAAGGTCTCGAAGAGCACACAGCTGGGGCCAAGGTCAGCAGGCTTGGTCTCCAGGTAGTGGCCCACGTCATGCAGGAAGCGGCAGCGGTCACCATAGAAACACCTAGCAGCTGATTCCTGCAAGGAAACAGGGAGGCAATAAGGGAGGACAGAGAGACGCTGACAAAGCCAGTCAGGCAGCCTAGGTCTGAAACTCAGATCCCTCCCCTCCTGGCTGTGTGTCCTCAGACAAGTCAGAAACCTCACCAAGCCTCAGTTTCTTCACCTGGAAGATGGGAACAATAACGATACACCATAACATCGAGAAGATTGAACTGGGGGGGCAGACAGGCTCACACTCAAGACATCTGGGACTTTCGGTGACAGTGACACACACCTGGACCAGAGAGGGACAGAGCTTGTTCTTATCATAGTGGGTGGGCTTCACGTGAGGCCGGCACTTGTTCTGGCCCCGGGCCCTCTTCTGAGCCTGAAGCTGCTCCCCAGTTTCAGCTGCCTCCTCTGCCTGCCCGTCCTCTGTCTGCCCGTCCTCCAGTCGGATCCGCTTGGCCTCAGGCTCAGTCAGGTCATTGCCAGCAGGGTCTACAGCCTCGGATTCCTGGCTGGGCTTCTCCTGCCCTTTGGCTTCCAGGAATTCGTGGAACTGCTCCTTGGTGGTGAGGTATCTGCCAGCAGAGAGGCAGGAGAAAGAAGGGCTTGTGAAAGAAGTATCCTGCCTTGAACTCAGATTCATGAACGCTAGGGAAAGGGGCTAAGAACACTTGCCCCTGTTTACATGCCTCTGTTTATGGGGTACTCCCTACTTAGAACAAGCCAGCTGCCAGCCTAGGAACACTTCAAGGCCGCAGGGAGGACCTATTTTGTTCCTGGGTCCCCAGTGCCCAGACTGGAGAACTGAAGTACAAGTATCAGATGTGAACATCCCTGGCTACCTTAGACTACAAGAAACTACAAGTCCCAGCGTGCTCTGCAACGGGTCCGCTGCTGCCACATTTCCCAGCGTGCCTTTCAGCCACCCCACCCCCCCCAAGCCCCAGCATGCCCTGCGGCACTCGCTTCAGACACGAGTCAAATCCCTACCTGTAAGTGCGGCGGCTGACCAGAAGTGCACTTGCGCCATTCCCGCTATACGCTAGGCCTACAGTCCCCAGCATGCACTGCAGCCTCCGCCCCAGACCCCGCCCACCCCAGCATGCACCGTGGTGTCCTTCTCGCATGTGACAGTTCCCAACGTGCGTGATCTCAGGTGCTCGCTGACCCTGCGAGCGGACGGAAGGCCGAAACAGAAGAGCCGGCGAGCTTCCAATGCTGGGCCGCTGCCCCAGCTCCCGGCAAGCACTGCTCGGGCCGCGCCTGACCCAGCAACTCACTGAGGTTTGATGGGCGCCACTCCCCGTTCCGGCTCGACGGCTCCTGGGTCGCCACCACCACCACTCTGTACTGAGACTTCTGCCGCTCCCTCCGCCATCGGCCCCCCTCACACCCGCTTTGGATGCCGCGGAAAGGCCTTCCGGGTCGCGTGTGTGTCTTCCCCGGTCTTGCTGGTGAAGTGCGCATGCCCAGGTCGCTCCAAGTGACGCAATTGTACGCGCGTCGACGTAATGGGGTGGAACCTAGGAAGGGGTGGGGCCTCGGGTCCCTTTTCTACCTCTGATTCATTTGCGGGAAACGGAACTGTGCAATGAGTCTCTTGGGGCTATCAAACTGGCTTCCCGCGGGCTACAATCGGCTTACAGAACTATTTTGTTTTCCTGATGGAATTTTAAAACACTGGTACTTTTATATGGGGCGTTCATTAAACGAGTAACTCGTCGAATGCCTATGTGTTACATGCTATCCTAGATGCCGGCGAAACAGCAGTGAATAAAACAGACCAAAAAAATCGTTACGCTTAGGAGCTTAGATAGGAGTGGTGAAGATAATCAACATAATACATAAGTAAGGTATACTGTATATTGGACGGTAATGAAGCAGGGGAGAGGAAGTGGGAAAGCCATTTCTGGTGGTTGCAGTTCTTAATAGAATGGTCAGGGAAAGCTTTTTCACTGAGGGGACATTGAGTGTTTTTGCAAAGATGAGTGAGACAGGAATATCAGAAGGAAAAGTGCTCCAGGTTGAGGGAACAGCCAGTACAAAGGCCCTGAGGCAGGACCCTGCCTAGTGTGTTGGACAGTGAGCCCTCTGTGATGGGAGCTGCGTGAGCAAGGGAGAGAGAGGGAGGAGGTGAGAACAGGGAGGTGAAGGTCATGCAGGGCCCTCTAGGCTTTGGGGAGGACTTGGGGATTTTATCCCAGGGAAGTGGGAGAACAAACAGCCCAAGGAGAGCAGAATCTAGTCCCCATTTTCCACAGTCCCCACCATTCCCTGTTGCACTCTCCTAAAGCTCCCTGTTCCTGGAAGAGCCTTGGTGCCCCACAGGCACCTCTGGGCTGTCGACTCAGCCTGCCAGTTTGGACTCCCAGCACTTCTACTTAACAACTGGGAACATTTTCCTTAACTTTGTGCCTCAGTCTCCTCATCAGAAAAATGGGGCTGGTAGAAATAGCTGTTTTAGGAAGTATAGATTCAATAAATAGCAGTCAATAAACATTAAAGAATACTACTGTTGCTACTGTGTGCTACTTCAGTTGTGTCCAACGCTTTGTGACCCTATGGACTGTAGCCTGCCAGGCTCCTCTGTCCATGGGATTTGCCAGGCAACAATACTGGAGTGGGTTGCCATGCCCTCCTCCAGGGGGCCTTCCTGACTTGGATCCAACGTTGCTATTTCTTTATCACTACTATTTGCCTTGAATTATGTGAACACAGTGCAGGATGTCAGTAACCAATTCCTTGGCTGCCTGTGCATTTTACTGCTAACCTTGACAAAGCTTTCCTTGAGCAGGGAAATAAGACAGAGACTGTATTCCTTGAGTGACAGAGGGACGAACTGAGGCCAGAGGAGGGAAAGGATTTGCTTGAGGCTGCAACAGGCTCAACACCAGCTTTTCTAAGACCTGGGAGAAAATGCAATGGGGGCGGGGAGCAGCTTGTCTTCCATCTCTGGCCTCTGCCGCCCTCTATAGGTCAAACTGGAAATAAAACTTGGAATCAGAGACTGGAAGAAACCACAGCAGTCCTTGGGAGACTGTCCCACTTACCCACTTCCAGGGACAGGAACTCACTTCTTCCTGAGGTTCCCGCCCCATTGCCCTCTGAGGTTCTACCATCATCTCCCCAGACATCATCCCACAGGCATCCAGATCTCTCTGGGGAGACAGTTGTTCAGGTGGAGAACTGAGGACCACAGACGGTGACCTCAGGAATGGGACTCCCCTCCCTGGGCCTCAGCCTTCAAGAAGACCCTTCTTAGGGCTTTCTGGCTTTGCCCTGTGACAACGAGCCTTCTCTGTGTAAGGTGATCCAGAAAGCCTTCCTGTAGGGAGAGAAAGGGAGATTGTGGACCGGCAATTAATAACAATGTGCTGTGCTCTGCGTAGTCACTCACTTAGTCATGGCCAACTCTTTGTGACCCCATGGACTGTAGCCTGCCAGGCACTCCTGTTCATGGGGATTCTCCAGGCAAGAATACTGGAGTGGGTTGCCATTTCCTTCTCCAGGGGATCTTCCTGACCCAGAGATCAAACCTGGGTCTCCAGAATTGCAGGTGAATTCTTTACTGTCTGATCCATTCGGGAAGCCCAAGAATACTGGGATGGGTAGCCTATCCCTATCTTCCTGACCCAGGAATTGAACCAGGGTCTCCTGCATTGCAGGCAGATTCTTTACCAGCTGAGCTGCCAGGGAATCCATAGTAACCATGATACGGGTATTAATATAAGTGACACATTATTAATCGTTATTATTTTGTTATAATATTGCATTATTTTAATGGCATAGTACAAATCATTTACCAGTAGCTGCACAATTATTGAGCACTTACTGTATATTGGGCTCTGTTCTAAGCTCTTTTCATGTATTAGCTCCTTTATTCCTCTCTCTGACCTTGTGTGGAGGAAACAGACATTCATCCCAACTCTACCTGAATCAATGGCTTGCAGAGGTCCCGGGTCCAGGGGCTGCCCCATTGCCTAGCCAGAGACCTGAGCATCAGCCTCTCCTCCCGCCATAGACTGCCAGTCCCCATGTCCAATCTGCTTTCTCTCCAGTCTCTTTCTAGACTGTCCCCTTTCCCGGCACCTCCCCTTCCAGGCCTCAATCTCCCAACCTACCCCCAATAGTCCAGCCTCCCACAGCTCTTTCTTTCTTTCTTTTTTCCACAGCTCTTTCTAAAACCCAGATCTGACCATGACCCTCTCCTGCTCCCAATCCTGCCATGGCTCCCAACTTCCCTAGTCCTAGACTATAACCCCAAAGTTTCTGCATAATCCAGCCCCTGCTGCCTTCTCTATCTTCATCTCTCTTCACCTCCTCACTCCCTGAACTCAAGTACCAAGGTCATGCCAGAAGTCCCATGAGTTGGTCTTACCTCCCAGGCTTCAAATATGCGGTTCTCTCTCCCAGTAACAGTTTCCTGCACCCAGTCACCTTGGTCACCTCACTCACTCTTCTGTTCTCAGGGTCATCATCTCTAGAAAAGGGAGGCATTGAGGATCTTCCCCCCCCCCACCCCCAATAAACTAAGTCCAGAACTGGTGGGAGTCGGCTCTGCCTCGGCTCCTCTGTGTCTTCAGCATGTACCAGGCCTGGCACACAGTAGGGGCTCCCTGAACACTTATTCAGTGAATGTATCTTGTCATAGCTAGGGAAACTGAGGCACTGGGGGCATACCTCCTCTGGGCCTGGTGGGGTGTCCCACCCTCACTGAGGCTGTGGCAAGGAGCTGAGGACTTCCCAGGTGCCAGCCTGGAAAGTGTGGGGACACCGAGAAAGATGTCCCCGCAACACTGAACTGGGCCTGAGTCATACAAATGCCTGACCTTGGCTGATCTGAGGAAGCAGGAGGGCGGCAGGTCACCCTGGGGCCCCCAAGCAGGTGGGGAGACTGAGGCACTCAGGAGGGGGTGGAGCTGGGCCTGGGAAGGTGCTGCTGGCACTCTGCCCAGGCACTGGGGCTCTCCCTGCCTCCGTCCCTTTTATTCTTCCTGTTTCTGGTTTAGCCTTTTTTGCTTCTCTTTCTGTATTTCCTTCTCTCTGTATGTCTATCTCATGTATGTCTACCTTCCTTTGCCTCGCTCTTTTCCCCACATATTGGCTCTCCATCTTTCTCTCTCTCTCTTCCTCTTTCACTTCATCTGTCTCCATTTCTCTGCTGTTGTTGCCAGCCCCCCATGGTTGCCCTTCCTCCGCTCTGTCTCTCTCTCCCTCCACCGTCGCCCTCTGTCTGTCCCTCTCGGCTGGTCTGGTCGGATGGGGGAGGAAGCGCAGGGCAGGTGTGGCCTGGGCTCTTTGCCCGCTGCCGCCGGGCCGCCCCGGATTTGCGGCTTTCAGCTTTCGCCTCCTTTATCTGGGGCTGCAGCTGCCCCTTATCTTCTGGCTTCAGGACACGAGACCAGGATTAGGGCAGCCTGGGCCAAGGACGCAAGGAGGCAGGGCCAGGCTGGCGGGTGGCGAGGACCAGGGTGCTGGGAGGTGTGTGCTGTGGGGCACCTGTGAGCCTTAAAATCTGGGGCTGCCGTGCACATCTGAGTGTGTGTGGTGGTATAAACATATGCAGAGTATGACTGACTTTGGGGGGGGGTGTCTGTGTTTTGATGTGCATATTTATGAATCTGTGAACATGTGTATCTATTGTACGTGTGTGTGTGTGGATATTGTGGCTTTTGTGTGTGGGGGGGGTTGTCTGTGATCTCCCATAAGGTTCTCAGCCCTGGCTCCACCTCTCAGGTGTCCCCCAACCCCAGGCCCAGCCCCCTTTGCCTCCCCAGCCCTCTGCCCACCCCCACACCCCCTGCCTGATGGCTTTCCTGCGTTACCGACCTGGGACCCCCAGGGACAGGGCCTTCGACCTATGACCTGGGGCTGCAAATGGCCCTGCAGGGACAGCTGGCGTCCCTGCTTTTTCCATCATCCTCTCCTGGAATCAGCCTGCTCCTTCCTGCCGCCCACAGGCCTCATGGGTCCCCATCCTGGCCAGTCTGACCGGCTCCTTCCCTGGTCCCTGGGGCCCTTGCTCTGACCCCCGGCCAGGAGTGGGTGTTCAGCTGTGTTCTCAGTAGGAGCTGAGGCCTCGCTCTGCCCTCAGCATCTTCCAGCTCAGGGTGAGGATAATTTTGATGAATCCAGAGCCCCAGAGCCTGGTTTCAAGGAGCTTCTTGGCTGGGCATCAGCAACCCTGTGCTAAAGAAACATGGAACCATATTACAAATGGGAAAGCTGAGGCACAGCGAGCTCAGGACCAGCATACTGGGGGGGATGGAGTAACACTCAGTGTGTGAGGATGTTCTGACTGGAGGGGTGGCTGGAGGGACAGAGAACACAGAAGGCCCCAGGCCACCTCACCCCCCATGGGCTGGTCCCCAGAGGGGTCCCCGAAATGCAGCCGTGGGCCTGCAGGGCCTGGACCAGCTCCTGGAGTTAAGATGGAAACTTCTCCACCAGCCAAGTCTCTGAGTCTTGGCCAATGGCCACGAGCTTCCCTAACCCTCTGCCTCAGCCTCTACCCATGAACAGAACACTCCCCTGGGAAGCAGTGACCATTGGGCGGGGGTGGGGGGTGAAGAGGGCCCTCTGACCAGAGAGGACAGGTTGGAGGAGCAGTGGGGGACAGTGGTTACATGTTTCATAGTCATCCAGCCCCAGAGTTGAGCTGCTGTCTTACTGTGTGACCTGGGGCTGATATCTTGACCTCTCTGATCCTCAGGTTTCACAACTGCACCATGGGCTTATAGCACGCTGGGGAATGGGAGGCCTCGCCTGGAGCTACCTGGCGAGATGTGCTGTGGAGGAGTCAGTGAAGGAGCAGAACTAATTTCCCAGTAAACATGGGAGAGGGGGTGGTGATGGGCAGGTGGCTGGGCCTGGCTGCCCCTGCTATGTCCTACCCCTGCCTCAGCCTTGACCTTGGGGCCAGCCAGCTCAAATCAGTCACAGAAGTCACATGCCTTTGAGTGCCCCCTGCTCTTCACTGAGCTTCACCACCCCGCCACCCGCAATCCGTGCGCTGAGAGACCACAGTCCCTAGCCACGGGCTGACTTTTAGTGTGGGAGGTTCAAGGCTGGGTTCCACCCACCCCGCCCCACAGTAGCCCAGTCTGGAACAAGCAAGTTTTAAAAATAAAGCATTGTAAATATCCGTGTTTCCTACAAATAGAACCAACCCCTGAATCCCCTCGGCCTCCCAGGCAGCCAGGCGCAGACAGCTCCCTTGACGGAGGTGGGGGGCGTGTCGTGTATGTACCAGTTCCCGCTGCTGTGTGAGTCAGCCAGTGTGACAGGGTGTCTGTCTGTCACCACCTGTCCAGGGGGTGACAAAGCCTGTGTCACCGGCGACAGAGAGTGGCCAGCGTGCTGGGTTGTATGAGGTGACATGCATTGATGTCAGAGGGTGTCACACCTGTGTCTGATGTGATCACGTGGGGCCGGCCTTGAGGAGGGTCGGGGCTCTGGGGGCCTGAGTGTGACAGGGGCTGCCTCCTCCGTGTGTGTTTGGGTCAATGTGTGTGTCCCTGAGTGTGCAGGCGTCTCCTTCCAAGTGGGGAGCGTGACCGAGTCTCTCCACGGTGGGGGAAGGTGCACTTGAGTCCTACGCCCCCGGGGCCCCGCCCTCAGCCCCGCCCCTCGACCCCGCCCCTGCCCCCCTGCCCACCCGAGAGGAAGAACCGGGTCTTTCAAGTCGCTGTTACCAGGGCAACCATTTTACGAGCGTCCACATGGTGGGCACATGTATGTCCTGCACCCCATGTGTCTGTACGCCCCTGCCCCCATGGCCCCCAGCCCAGGCGGGGAGGGGGCGGTGTCCAGGCGTTGTGCGGTTAGCAGAAGCGGCCAAGGGGCCGCTGGTAACAGCTTAATGATGGCTGGCGGGGTGGGGGTGGGCTCCTGGTCTGGATACGGATGTGCAGAGGGGCTGTGCTTCCCGGACCTGCACGGTGTGTGCGTGTGCGCCTGAGTATGCATGACACAGGGTCTCCTCGACTCCTGTGCGTATATCATGGCTGTGCAGTGGGCACACGATGCTCGGCCTTGCTTGTGACTGTAAGAGGGTTTTGTGTGAAGGCGTGTGTGTATGTGTAACAATCCGCCAAGTGGACACGTGTGTGCAGGAGCAATCCTACTCCGAGCCGTGGAGTCCCCTTGGGGTTGCTCTGAGGGCCAGTGGGCTGCTAAGCGTGTGAATAGCACTTGTGTCTGTGTGTGTAGGGATGGCGCTGTTCTAGAAGGGTGTGCGGGTATGCGTGAAAACGAGCAGGCACTGGGTGTGACCCTGCCTGGAATAAGGTTTGGGGGTCAGTGCCTCACTCTTCCCTCCCGGCCAGGGTGTGTGTGTCTGTCGCTGAGAGTGAGTCCTTAACGACACCAATAGTGGCAGACGCGTGGCCATTACTCAGCAAGTGGCATGGTTACTCATACTTAATAATTCGATCCTTACTGAGACCCTTACAGGATCTACTGCTAACACCCCGTGTTATAGACGGGGAAACCAAGGCACGGAGAGGCAAGCACAGACCCCTGGTCTTTGCATCCTGGACTGGAATCGGGCAGCTGCGGGGCTCCGGCTCTGACGCACACTCACCCTTTTTCCTTCCCCGACAAATTCAGAATCCAGGCTGCACCCCGCTCGCGCGTCCAGTGCGCCCCACACCCCCGTGGCTGGGGTGCCTGTGTGGTGGGGGACCTAGTAGCCATACAAACCCCAGGCAGCTGGGATCAGGGGAATGCAGGCGGCCTGAGTCAGAGTGAGGGGGCCCCAAGAAATCAGGCCGCGGGAGTGAGAACCAGAGCACCCGGTTGCAGGCGGCGGCGGGGACCCAGAGGGCAGGAGCAGAGAGCTGGGGCAGGGGGCGGGACTCTGGGGCAGGGGGCGGGACTCTGGGGCAGGGGGCGGGACTCTAGGGAGGGCGTTTCACCGTAACTAGGCCGGGGTGGGGCGGGGCCATAGCGGATCAGTCCCGCCCACCCATCCAGCCCCGCCCCCTGAGCCTTTTGAAGCCGCTAGGGGGCGCATTGGGAACGCGGAGCCGTCGGGGAGGGTGCCGGATGGGTTTGGGCTCTCTGGGCCGCGGTGGGCCTTGGTGCCCAGGAAAGCGCCGCCAGGAGCCAGGGGTGGGAAGGTATCCCCCCGCAGAATCTGGCTCGGAGGCCAGACTAGAGAAAACTGCCACTTGATGAGAGGCGCTGTGGACAGCCGGGTATCGTCCGTCGTCGGTTTTAGGGTCTCATTTGCTATCTTAGGGGGAAACTAGGTCCCAGAGGGGAATTTCTTTAGCTTTCTGGAATGAGGACCTGGGAAGGGACTGGGGGCCCCGCAATACCCAGTGAGGTGAGGGGAGAAATTGTGGGCCATGATTACCGCGTCGGGGGAGTGTTGCGGCTCTTAATTCCACGGAGGCGGACCTTTGGGGGGTCTGGAGAAGTCTCGGATTTATGGAAGATGCGCCGTCGGGGTTCTTTAAGTGGGAGTGGGATATAGCTAACCTGGAGGGACGCTGTCCCGGGGGGGATCCCTCAAGGGGCTCCCTTGGCGAGAAGACTTCTTGAGGCCTTGCGTTCCGGAAGGGGACCGAGCAGGATAGGGGGGAGGGGTCTGGCAGTAAGACCGGTTCTCTGTGGAATGGGAAACGCTGAAGGTCGAGGGACTGGCATGGGGGCACTGTGGCTCTTATCTCAGCAAGAGGCCCTTGGAGGGGGGCATTACAAAGGTGCGCCGCCCGGGCCTCTGGGGCCAGGGGATATCGCCGTCTAGGGGGGTGCTGCTGTCCTTGCACCCTTGCCACCTGCGTTGTTCAGGTCCCCCTCTGGCTGGGAGGGACTGGGCGGGGGCGTCTCCCAGTCCCGGGAAATCCGAGCCACCGCCCCTGGCCCCGCCCCCGGCCCCGCCCCCCGGCCCCGAGCCGGCCGAGCCGTCCGCGGCGGGAGCGGCGGAGGCGGCGGGAGAGCGCGCCGTGGAGCCGCTCGGAGCGCCTGGGCCCCTCACGCCGCCGCCTCGGAAGCCCAGCGCCACTCACCTAGGCCGCCCGCGCCGTCTGTGCGCCCCTGCGCCCCGCGCCCTCCGAGCCGCAGGCCGTCCAGGGCACCCCCTCAGCCCCAGCCTCCGCCGGGCCGGGATGGCCGCAGCCCGCGGCTGAGCGAGCCCGGGGGGGCCCCATGGGCTGGCCCGCGCCGCGCCCCCCCCGCGGCCGCCCCCTCCGGCCCGGGCCCCCCCGGGCTCCGTGGGCCCAAGCGGCCCGGATGGCGGTCGCAGTGGCAGGGGCAGGGGCTGGGGCCGGCGCGGGCGGCAGGCGCGGCCGCCACTGACGGCTAGTAGGGCGCCCGGAGCAGGTAAGCAAGGGCAGAAGGGGGGCCCGCAGAGGACTGGCGCGGGGGAAGGACTGGCGCCCATGGACAGAGGTTGCGGGGGCGTCCAGGGACTCCCGGTAGACCAGTAGCTTCCCGCCTTGAGCCAAGAACAAGCGTGTCTATGAGGGTGGGGTCAAGAGGCGACAGGTCCGCGCGTGGCAGGCGGTCGGGAGGGCGATGTAAGCGCCTCTCTAAGCTAGGGTCTGGCCAGGGGAGGGGGTGGTCCCTGTCCGACGGGGCGGGCGCGCTTCTGCCTCCTCGGACCCTCTTGTATGCTTCTGGAGAGAGGGTGGAAACAGGAGCAGCCGGACACCACTCCCCAGCCTTTAGGTGGGCGAGAGCCAGACACCCCTTCGGTCTTGTGATCTACAAGGGGCCGCGGGGGACAACCGGATCCCGCGGACCCTGAGTGGGGGGCTGCCGTCGCGGCCCAGCTGCACGCAGAAGTAAACATCTGTCAGTGGCGCGTTCCAGGCACGTTCCCTGCGCGCCGCCGCCGCTGCCGCCGGGGACACGGTGTCCTCCGGTAAGGGCCCAGCTCTCTCGGCTCCTGGAGCCTTATGCAGCCGCAAGAGGGCGCGAAACCATTTGGGGGGGGGGGGTCCCTTAAGGGCAAAGACCAAATTTGAAGAAGAAAGGGCGGTCGTCCTTCCTCTTTTTAGTAAAGGCATCTCTTACTCAGGATGGTCCCAAAATTCTCCCAGAAAATGTGGTTTGTCAGTTCACAGTCTTTAAGCGGAGGGGCCTGCAGACAGTGGGCAGATGTGGGCTGGGACCAGAGACAGAAGTGGCTTCTCTCCTGGGGTGGGTGTCACCACAGTCCCCTCACCAGGAAGCACCAGCATACATATATCACGGTGCCACTGGCCTGGCTCAGTGGGCCTTTGGTTACCTGCAAGGCTGAGGCCAGCAGCCCAGATCTGGGGAGTAGAACTAGGGCCTATGTGGGGGGCATGGAACGCCAGACCCTTGATTTTCCTCACTCCTGCTGCCCACCCTGTCCAACATCCTTTTCTTTCTGTTCCATGACACTCTTTGTCTGTCTTTAAAAGAGCCCCGGGCTGAGGAAGTCCTAAAAAGGCTTGACTGGTCTAGGCAGACACCCCTCCCCACACCCTTCATTCTAGGACTGCTGAGGTTTGAGGTTCCACAGCCACTCCCAGGCCTTACAGCCCACTCCCACACAGCTGCGAAGAGCTAGTTCCAAAGGTGCAGGGGAGAAACCAAATCACGCCTCCTGACAGTTGGGCACAGTGTCTGAGTTCTACCATCACTGCTTGTCCCTCAGGTGATAGGCCTCAGTTTTCAGGGGGTGAGAAATGGATACAGCTTTCAAGAGTCTGGGACAAGTGAGGGAACCAAACAGTTTGCAGCCAGGCAAAGAATACAACCAAGAGATCATTTCCACCAACACGTATTGGACTGCCACGGTGTAGCTGACTCTGTTTGGGGTCAGGCTCCTGGGCTTTGTCCTTCCAGGAAGACAAACTTAAATCCAAGGTGGAGGCCAGAGTGGGGAGCAAAGGCACTCCCTCCAGGTAGGAGGGTCAGGGGAGACTTCCTAGAGGAGAGCCACTGGGGTTGGGGCTGTACAGGAGGAGTAGGAGTTTTCTAAGTGGGACCGGTCAAGGCATCCAGGTAGTAGAAACTGCATATGCAGAGATCTGGAGGCAGGAAAGTGCATGTATGGTTTTGGAAAATCCAGGAGGCCTGAGTGTGGGAGGCCTCTCTCGATCATTCTGAAAGGCTGACAGAGAACTGGGCTGGGGCCTTCAAAGACAGATTCCTGGAGATGGGAGCTGGAGACACAGAGAGAACAGGTCTTTTAATGCATCTGGCATCATTGGGTGCATCCATTTTTGCTGAGAGGTTCTGGGATTCTTCTGCAGATGCAGCTTTCCTGGTCCCGTAAGGTGGGGTAGGGGAGTCTAGACCTCAAGGCCCACGAGGGGAGACAGGATCTTCCCTCTGCCCAGTGAGCATCAACTAAGCAGGCACAGTGGGAGGCTGGTTCTCCCCATTTCACATCTGAGAAAACTGAGGCTGGGCAAGCTGGAGAGATCTTTCCTTATGTGCCATGTAATTAATTCCTGAGCCCTAAGCTACCATGTGCCAAGATATGCACCAGGATGAAGCAGAAAATAAGACAGGCCCAGGGCCTGCTGCACTCATGAGGGGGAGGGTGGGGGGCAGACCTGAGGCTCTCAAAACAGCCAGCCAGCCTCCTGGACTTTCAGGGTGTGTAAGGGCCACCACGGAAGCCTGAGTAGGGTCTGGGACACTTTGGCATCGGTGTTCAGGAGCAGAAAGAGCTTCCCTTTCAATCCCAGAGGACTCAGGCTTTGTCTGGCCCTGGAAGAAATCCAGCAGGTGGCCCTCACTTCCCAGCGGGGGAAACAGAGCCTAGAGCAAGGGCCCCACCATCCGTGCCTAAGGAGCTCAGTATGTGAGGATCCCAAGGCAGAATTTGAACTTGGGGACATGGAAAAGGTGACTCGGGTCCCCTGGTTCCCAGGACACCTTTGTTAGAATTTGCGACACGTCAGAGGTCTGTGCCTTGGTTTCCCTTTCTGTCACAAGGCCAGGTTTGTGTGGCGTCCCCCTGGCTACTCCTGGAGGACCCACGTCCCTCGCACCACCCACTGGGCCCCATGCCAGCTGCTCAGCCGTGCCAGTGCCAGGCCTCATTAGGTTGATCCTGTTATTCTCCCCCAGGAAGGTCCCCCCGCAACGCCCGCCCCAGATGCCTGTAAGGCCTGTCCCAGGCCAGCTTGGCTAAGCCAGACCAGCCTGGTATGGTCGAGGTGGGAATTTTATGGGCCAGCCACAGAGGGCCAGGCCAGAAACAGCGGGCCTGAAAAGCTGGCGGCCCCACCACACACACGCTCCCTGGCCCAGCCTCCCCAAGAACACGCCTGCACAGTGGCTGGTATAAGAAGTGGGCACTGATGGGAAATAGGACCCCCCCATCTCTCCTCATCTCCCTGTGCTGTTCCCTGGCTAAGTTTGCTCTGGTCACCCCGGTCCCTTTGAAAAGCTATCATCCTGTCTCTGAGCCTTTGCTCATGTGGTTCTCTCTGCCTAGAACACTGTTCCTAGATCTTCACATGGGCTCAGCACAAATCCTGCCTCCTCCGAGAAGCCCTCCTTGACCACTCAGCCTAAAAGCAGCCCTGGTTACTATTGCTTCACCTTGTTTTATTTGGGGGCTGTTGTTGCACTGACAACCTCTAAATTACCCTTTCTTTCTTTTTTTATTTGGCTTTAATTGTATTTTTTTCTTTTATTTTTTAACTGGAGTATAATTGCTTTATGATGTCGTTGTGTTAGTTTCTACTGTTTTCTTCTTTCTCTCTCTCTCCTTCCTTTCCTCCTTTCTCTCTTACTTTTCTAGCCACACAGCTTGTGAGATCTTGGTTCCCCAACCAGGGATCAAACCTGGGGCCCCAGCAGTGAAAGCGCAAAGTCCTAAGCACTGGACTGCCAGGGAATTCCCTAAAATACCTTTCTCTCTTTTTTATTATCCATTTCCCTTAATGGGTGGTCTGAGCTTGGCAAGGGCGGAGTCCCAGGTTGGCCGTGGCTGTCCTATGTTCCCCGGCTGGCCCAGCACCGAGTAGGCACTCCGTAAGTGTTGAGTGAATGTGTTGGGGGCAGAACCGCCTGGCACTCGGGCTTCCTGCCATGTGGGTCTTCTGTTTACTTGCTAGTTCTGCTCTGCTGTGTGTATTTGAGAACATTTTCTCCTTCCCTGGCCCTCAGCCCCTCCAAAACAGCAAGACCTTGCTTCTCTCCGTCCACCCCCGGCATCACGCTTGTTACAGGGGTTGTGGAGACATTGAGAGAACAAGTTTAGAGTCAGACCCCGGTTCAACTGCAGCTCAGCCACTTAATTTCTGTGTGATCTTGGGCAAGTCACTTTACCTCTCCAAGCCTCAGTTTCTACGTGGTAAATGGGGCTAATAATAAGAACAACATCTTTTCCAGGGACTGTGGCGGGAGAAATAAACATGGAAAGCACTCAGCAGAGGGCTCGGCACTAAATAAATGGAATAGCCAACACTGCAGGTGTTAATGTTATTGTTCTTGCTCTTACTGTCATGAGGAAGGCCATATGGTACAGTGTTCAGGAAGGTGGAACAGAGGGCACTGAGGCTGGGGCTTTGAAGGATGAGTAGGAGTTTGCCCAACCGCCTGAGTTCAAATTCTAGCTTGGCCATTCATTCATGCTCTGTTTGACCCTGAGGAAGACACTTCAGCCTTTTGGACTTCTTTTTCTGTCTACACAATGGGGATAAAATGATCCACACCATTCTGCGAGTCACTAGAGGTAAAGCGCTTAGAACAGCAGCAATGGTGTTGTTCACTAGTGTTAGTATGAGCTATTTTTCTTTAATACTATTATCACAAAGCAACCAACACAGAAGTCCTCCCCAGAAGTTGACTCCTCAGCCTCACTTTGGTGAAGACAGACCCAAAGTCCCTTAAGATACACTCAGGACCCGAGACTTGATTCTCAGAGTAGCAGGGAGCCAGGGATAGTTCTAGCAATTGGGCAGCAGGCAGCTTCTGGGTTGGAGGAAAAAGAGGAGAGGCAGGACTCCCACCTCTGGCCAGGCTTGGGAGGTTCTGTAGGGGGCGTCTGTGCCTGCACCCTCCCAGGAGGCCACCCCACAGGCTGGCCCCTGACCCCCGCAGACGCGACATCGGAACCAGCTGTGCTAGCCAGATGTTCCTGGTTTACCCGCAGATGCCTGCCCCGGCCTCCCTATCCCCACCACAGGGTGGGGCTGGGCCCTGGGGCCCTCCGAGGGAGGGGGCACATTTTTGTGGGCTGTGGAATTTGTTTCTCGTTTTGCAGAACCATTGAATCTTGTTTTGAGAGAGGCCCAAGTCCCACCCGTTTCCTCATCATGAAATGGGGCCTCAGTTTCCCCATCAGTAGATCCCTAGGGAACCCCCAGGGGCCATCTGGGGTAAAAGAAATGAGTAAGGCTGCCCGGGGAATGGGCCCAGCTGCCAGCCCCAGAGCTGGAGGACTGATGGAGGAGACAGAGAAGGGCGTGCAAGCACCCGCGTCTGACACCCGGGCCCCGCTGCTGCCGTTGGCCAGGCCTGCAGGACTTCACTGAACAAAAATGGCCCTCCAGATGAGGAGGTGTCCTGGGCAGCCCATTGTACAGATGGGAAACTGGGGCTCAGAGAGGGGGAGGAGCTGTGTGCTTGCCACACAGCTCCCTTGCCATGTGATCCAGCCAGGAAGAGGCAGAACATGGATGCGAGTTCAGCTGTCTGGACCCCAGGTGCCGCAGCATCCAGACACACCCTTCTCCAGGGGCTGGCCCGCAGGTGTGGCCAACCCCACTACTGCCCACATGGCTTCCCGCCTGGCTCGTTCTGACCGCGGGTGGCAATGACAGCCCCACATGCAACCCGCTCATTCCTATAGTGTGGGGCGGACCTCCTCAGACCCTTTCTGCAGTTGGGGGAACAGAGATACAGGAGGACCAGAGGCAGATCTGGGAGTGAGGTGCAAGGGGAGAACAGTGTTAGTGGAGGGAGGCACCACACGGGCAAAAGCCTGGTGACTGTGGATGGAATTCTCAATGTCCACCTTTGCTTTGAGGGGACCCAGCCCAGGCTGTCCCTCCAGAAACTCCTCCTGTCCAGCAAAAACAGATATGGATCCACATACTATGCTGGCAGAGCTGGGCAAGAGGGAGGACCCTGCAGCTCTGGGGGGACGGTCAAGATAGGGAGCAGGCATGGCTTTCAGGAGGAGGGGCTATAGGAGCTGGGACTTCGAAGGATAAGTAGGAGTTTGCCTGATGGAGACAGGCATGCCTCTCCCAGACTGGAGAGATGAATGGGTGGGCGGAGGGTTCCCCTCCCCTCCAACCCCTCCCTGGGAACAAGCATGAAGCAGGTTCCTCCCTGAGGCCAGCGGCTCCGCAGGCTGAAGGCTGGTGACCCTGGGAACAGGTATGCCTGGTGGGTGTTACCTGGGAAGCTCTGTGGAAAGGTGGAAACTTGGAGCGCTGCCGGGACATCAAGATAACGAACATTGTTTCCTGGCACCATCAAAGAAGCTGCCAGGAACACCCCCACACCCTCACCCTAATTGTCTGCTCCTTGGATAACTGGAAAGATCCAGCTGGCTGTGTGTCTACGGGCTGTTCATCACCCCTCTCTGAGCCTCAGTTTTCCCTCCCTCCCAGCGCTGGGGACTCTGTGGCCTCCAGCTAGAAGTTGAGGTCATTCCAGAGGTCATCCTTGCTGCAGTTCAGACTGACCTGATCCCCATGAAGGGAGATGCCCCCTTCCTTAGGCAATGAGGATTCTCCAGGGTCTGGACATTGTTGGCTTGAGAGGGGACCCCTGACCAGGTCCTGTCTGGCAGATGGGTGACACTTGAAATGCCAGCAGGTGTGGGCAGAGCAGGCCCTTTCCTCTGGGTCATTCTGCTCCCACACTCCCCTCTCCCCACTCGCAACCTCCTGTGGCTCCACTGCTCAGTGCCGCCTGGAATCTGCAGACAAGGGCCCCCAGCACTGGCAGGATGTTTGTGTCTGCACGCCTGTTTGCACGAGTGTGGCTGGAGTATAGGATGCAGGTGATAACAGGCATGCCTGTGCACGCACAAGTTCAAGTCCTCAAGGGATGGCTTGGAGGCGGCACGTGTGTGGCGTGCCCATTCTCTGTGTCAGCGTGCAAGAGACAATATGTGTCTGAGTGTGCAGGTGCTTGATTTGTGTGGGAGTGTGAGTCTCAAGGGTGTGTGAAAGCTCCCATGGGCATGAGAGAGTGTAAGGGGTGTGATCAGGGGAGCTCCCAAGGGCAAATCAGGATGTGTGTGCATGTGTGCAAATACTAGTGAGTGGTAGCACTTGAATGCTATGTTTGTGAGTAAAATGCCTACATGTGAGAGTATGAAACACGCTAGCATGTGAGTGCAGTGATGTTCAGGTGTGAGGGTGTGATGATGTTTGAGTGTGTGGTCATGTTCTAGGTGGGAAAACACCTGAGTGTGTGGTTGTGTTCAAGCATGTGAGTGGAATTCTGTTTGAGGGTGACTGAGACCACTGAGTGTGTAAGCAGGATGGCATCTGAGCATGTCGGAATGTGTGAGCCGGGCAGTGTCTGAAAGTGTGCGTGCAAGTGATTGGGCACACATGAGAGAGAGTGTGTGTGTGTGCGTGTGCACGTGTGCTGAGTGAGTCAGTGTGTGAGTCTGGGAAGGCTGGATGTGAATATGAACCCCCAAGTGTGCTGTGTGAGTGCCCACCTTCCCCATGACACAAGCACACAGATCATGCACACCTGGTCTCCTCCATGCCCTCCGCCACACCCGCTCCCCATCAGGTCCATGCCAGAGACAAACCAGTTGGGTGACCCCCATACAGAAAGGCCCATTGTTGCAGATGCTTATCAGCTGTGCCTGCCAGTTCCCCTCCACCAGCAGTCCCCTGCTTTCCCATCCCCCTCAGAGCTCCAGGAGGTCTGCAGCTCCAAGGCCACCAGGGGCTCCTGTGGCTGGGCCATCTCAGGGCTGGAGACCCATCTATCCTTTCAGCCCCCTGTTTTATACTAGTGCTGTACAGGGACCTTGTTCCAATCTAACAGGGAAACTGAGGCACACCAACCAAGAATTGGGTGTGATGACCAGAGGTCTTGCACCTGGGGGGTTTCCCTGTCTCCCCCTGCCAGGGTGGGTGAGGCCACCAGAGTTCTCCTCTTAGCTCTGTGACCCCGGGCAGGTCACTTTGCCACTCGGGGCCTCAGTTTTTCCATCTGTAAAATGGGAATAAGGACTCTTATGAAGTTAAAATGACTTAATAATGTGCATTAAATTTGTACAATGGGATCTGGCATCAAGTAGGGGCTCATTAAGAGTAAAGGCGGTGGGTTTGGGCACTTGATAAATGCCAAGACTGACCTGTTTGCTGCACAACCTTGAGAATGAAGTCTTCTCCCAACCCACAGGGCTGCATGACCTGCACAACCTGTCCTCCTCACCTCCCTGCCTTCACCTCCCCTTGTTCACTTTGCTCCAGCGACATGGGGTTGTCTTGATGATTCCTTCAACCAGCCAAGCATGGCCCTGCCCTAGGGCCTTTGCACATGCTGTGTCCACAGCACTCCAGGCTGGCCCAGGGTTTGTTTACATGGCCCCAGGTTGGGGCCCTCATTATCCATCACCCCACTGACAGTAATAACATTATCACCACAGTAATAATAACAGCAGTATCAAATACCACCACGGACTTCCCTAGGAGTCCAGTGGTTAAGACTCTGCGCTCCCAATGCCAGGGGCACCTGTTCCATCACTTGGCTGGAGAAGATCCTGCATGCCTCATGCAAAAAAAAAAAAAAAAAAAGCAATACCACCAACAGTGGCAGGTCCTCAGAATGACTCCAGAGCATTTGCTCCGCCCACGTGGAGCACTGTGACGAAGAATCCGGGTATGAGTCTCTAGATCATTTCCTAGCTGTGCCCTTGACCAAGCCTCTCTTTCGTGCCTGTTTCTCCAGTTGTAAAATGGAGGTTACAATGCCTCCTTCCTGGGCCCAGCACCGGTTCTGGTACACAACAGGGGGTAAACAAGCGTTCTCCGTTACTTACTGTCTGGTGCAGGTCCTGTGCGGGTGCATCCTTGGGGCGGGGGGAGAGGCGGTTCCAAACTTACTGCTCTTAACCACGCCCCGCCCCCCTCCGCCGACACTGGCACATCACACGCAAATGAAATGCAAATAGCACGCAATGAACTGCTCTGGGCAGCGCGCAGGTCAGCCTGTGTGGCCCGAGGCGCGCGCGCGCGAGCGCGGGGGCGCCCAGCACCCTGCCGCGGAGCCGGGGCGCTGACCGTCGTCCAGCCCGGCTTTCATCGCTCCGTGTAAATGTTTACACCGGGCCGGCCGCCAGGCCCCGCGCCGGGCGGCCGGCGGGGTAATGTAAACGCGGGCTGGAGGCCGCTCAGTGGAGGGGAGCTTCTCAGACAGGGTGGGGGTGTAGGGGTACGCAGGAGTTATTAAACATCTACTGTAAGCATGACGCGACTAGGCAACCACAACACTGAGTAATCGGTGCCCCAGTAGGGGAAGCTTAGACGTTGTGGGGACCCAGAGAGTGCCCTTGCACGGGCCTGGGGCTGGGGAGGAGGAGCAATCAGGGCAAGCTTCCTGGGGGAGGCACCGTCAAACCTAGGACCGAAAGTGGAATGGGAGTGGGCGGCAGTGGAGAAGAGAATGTTCTCGATGGAAGGACTCACTTGTACAAAGGCCTGGAGGTGGGTTGAGGGCAGCTTTGGTCCATTGCTGCCCACTTCTGGGCATCTATTTGTCTGGGGCGGGGGGGCAGGGAATCTAGGCCCAGAGCAGGGTGGAAAGTCACTTCCAGGGACATTAATATGGCTCAACCCGAGGGCTCCAGCCTCCCAGACTGTACCTATTCTAAACACCACCTCTCCTCACCACCCTTGTCCCACAGTGCCCCCTGCTGGGGATGTCCTCACCTTCCACTCTTCCCCAGACTCCCTGGGTTCAAGCCAAGGCAGCCTCCTGGCTGGATTGGCCACCCCGGGTCATGCCTCAGGACCTTTGCACCGGCTGTTGCCCCTGCCTGAGATGCCATTCTCTTCTGCCTGGCTAGCTCCTACCTTTGCTCAAGTCTCAACTTTCCTCAATCCTCAGGAAAGCACTCTGGGACGCCCAGATGGGGGCAGTTCCCAGGTTACCCCTGGCACAGTGCCCACCTCCTCCTTGGCAGCATTTCCCACAACCTTGTTCAGTGGTTCCTAGATGAATCACTTCTATATTATTATTGGTCATTAAGCAGGAGTGGTTCAAATTCAGGGGCCCCACCGTATCCCCACTAGCTGGTCCAGCACCCTGTGCCCGTACGTTTGTTGCCTGACAGACAGACGACGGAGGCCGTGTGGCTGACCATCCCGTGGACGCAGGCTGAGGATGCAGCGCTGGAAGGCAGCGGCCCTGGCCTCGGTGCTCTGCAGCTCTGTGCTCTCCATCTGGATGTGTCGGGAGGGCCTGCTCCTCGGCCACCGCCTCGGACCTGCGCTGGCCCCCTTGCGCCGGCCACCTCGCACCCTGGACGCCCGAATCGCCCGTCTGGCCCAGTGTAAGCCCTCCCCCGCCCCCTGTCTTGAGTCATACCCCCAACATCACAGCGACCATAATGGTGGAATGTTGTACACAGTGGAGCGGGGCCACAGAGGCTTACTTTAGATGGGGTGGAGGGAGGGTGCAAATCCCCTCAACGGCCTGGCAGGGGTGTCAGAGGGGATGGTTGCTGGGAACTGGGGTCCCTCGGCTCAGCTGTCACAAGGAATTAGGCTCTAGCCCTGAGGGGCCTGGGGGCCAGATGGAGATTAGACCTGGGCATTCGGCCTGGGCGGCCCCTGCAGCACAGTGGGGGGTGGAGGAAGAGGGAGGCTGGACCCGAGGCCCTAGTGACCTGTCGGGGGCGGGGACAGGGGAGGCAGAGAAAGACCTAGAAACAGGACGAGTCCTAGAAATGGGGAGAAAGACAGACATAGAGGAACAGAGGATGGGCGAGAATGATGTGGGAAAAGGTTAGGAGGTAGAAAAGTGGAAATGCCAACCCTGGGGGGTGTGGCTGCATGGTCCAGCTCCCCACTCGCCCCTGATGCCTGCCGGGCAGGTTCTGTGGGGCCGGAGCCATGCGTGGGCCCTGACTTAGTGCGTGCACGGGTGTGTCCACACGTGCATCCATGCGGGTGGATGGGGATTAGGTGTAAGGAGGGGAGCGTGCGTGGGCCCCCGTGGGTAGGGGGTGCATGCACGCCTGTGTGCAAGTCTGCACCCGCCCTGCCAGCCCACACAATCCTTCTTTCTTGTCTTCACAATGGACAAGGGTGGCCTCCGGCGCAAGCTCCACTTCCGCCCCCACCACTCCCCGCTTCAGGCTGCTAAATCCTTCCCAGGACACTGGGTCCCAGAGACCCAGGCTCCCCAAAGCTAGTGCTCCAGGCCCTGGGGGCAAAGGCCCAGTGGTGGAATTTCAGGCACTGGGGAGGATCTTGGCCCACTGTCGGGTCCTGCCTGCCCTGCATCCTGTCCCCGGATCCAGTCCTACTGGAGGAAGGACATGGATTTCCATACCCCAGAATCCCAGTGTTATAGGTTCTGGGATTAATGCACTGATGGAGGAATCTCAGGCTTGGGCCAGGGAGGTGTGGACATCATCTCCTTGCATTCCAGACCCTGTGCACATGGCCAGGCCTGCTGGAAGGACAGATATACTAGAAGATTATTGTTTATCTGAAATTCACACTGAACTGGGGAGCTGTATCGTAACCTGACAATCCCATGAATTAATTCTAGACACACATCTTTGGGGTTGGCACACTGGTGGAATTTTAGGCATCATTAGTGAGCTAGGCTCACCCTGATCCCAGAGCAAGCAGTGCTTGCCACCCTACTCCCACCCATCTCCCAGAAGATGCTGTTGGGTGGCCCCCCATTTCTACCCTCCCAGCCCCAGCCAAAGTAGGGACTCTGCAAGTCTCACTGAGCAAACAATGAAAGTAGGGTACAGCAGGGTACAACGGGTGCAACGAAAGTAGGGCTGTCATCTGCCTGAAACTACAAGGCTCAGAGTGGGCAGAGCAAGACTCAGAACCGGGGCTTGTCTGCTCTTGAGACCCGCTATGGGAGCAGACAGCTCCCAGGGTGACAGACAGCCCTTCCCCCTTGGGCCTCCTAGGAAGCTATTTCTTTTGACAGCCAGGTGCGCCAGCCTTGGGGGCAGGTGGGAGCTTAAACTCGGGATTTCCTCTCTCAACCATAAGAGTGACTGTCACCTGCTCAGGGGCTGGGAGCCCCCTGTTTGCAGACCCAGTGTCAGTTCAGCGCTGCCTGCCATTCCGACGTCTACATTTCTCTCCTGGGGCTGAGGAGCACTGGGGCAGGACCAGCCGCTTGGGAAATAAATTTAGGCCGTGGAGCCCTGGGAATCTATGGCTCAGGGCGCCTCCCGGCAGTTGTGGGAGGAGAGGGTTGGACGTGCACCAAACTTGGGCACAGGATGGAAGTGGGAAGACTGTTTGGTTTTCTCTCTGCCACCTGCCAGTGGTGTGGTCTTAGGCACCTCTTTGCCCCTCTGGATGCCCGGTTCCCTCACCGGTAAATGGGGGGAGCCCCTGACAGAAGCTGCGGTCACCCCATGTGGTAGGGCCAACACACAGTCTCAGTGGCTGCTGCTCCCCTGTGCATGTTGAGAAGCTCACACACCTCATCTGGTGTGGTGAAAGGGGAAACTGAGTACCGCTACACGGTGGAGCAGGAGGGATGCGGGGAGGGGGGGTGTTGTGAACAGGCCAGAGGTTCAGAGAAGATGCAGAGGTTTGGGTGGGGATCCCAGAGAGGGAGTGAGAGACCCATGACAGCTCAACCAAAGTAGGGGGTTGGGGTGTGGGAAGCAGGCCCCCAACACTGCTCAGAGAGCACGTGCCAGTGTCCTGGGGCAACCAGCATGGGGTGGGGACAGCTGGGGCCCAGGAGGGACTGGGATTTGGTTCACTACACCCCTTGCTGAGCGACCCCCCTCCTTTTTTTTTCTCCAGTGAGGTGAGAGCAGTTCAGTGAACAAGGGAGGAATTTCCAGTGCTGCCCTGCATAGGGATGGGGTCCACAGAAAGTGGTGGAGGGGTGTGCCCACAGGAAGACAGACACCGGGTCGGCTCAGCTCAAGTTGGGGCAGACTGGTATGTGGTACAGGAAATGGTTCTGGGCAGTCCATCTTAGGTGCAGGCTTCAGAGAAGAGTGCTCTTAGCCTTAGGGACCTAGCCTGGGGGCCTGGATATGCAACCCTCCCCTTACACACACGCCTCCCAGAAAGGGTGCATGAGCCGGAATCAGGCAGCAAGATAAGATGTGGTCGGGAGAGGGTGCACTAGCATCTGAGTCACCACCAGGTCCCTTTTCGCAGAGGAACAGCGTAGATATGGCGCTCCTTCCCATGCATCCACCCACTGACCCCCCGGCCCTTCTCTATCCCCTCGCAGACCGTGCACTGCTGCAGGGCGCCCCGGACGCGGTGGAGCTTCGAGAACTGACGCCCTGGGCCGGGCGGTCCCCTGGTCCGCGCCGTCGGGCGGGGCCCCGGCGGCGACGCGCGCGTGCGCGGTCGGGGACACGGCCGTGCGGGCTGCGCGAGCTCGAGGTCCGCGTGAGCGAGCTGGGCCTGGGCTACGCGTCCGAAGAGACAGTGCTGTTCCGCTACTGCGCAGGCGCGTGCGAGGCGGCCGCGCGCGTCTACGACCTGGGGCTGCGGCGCCTGCGCCAGCGGCGGCGAGTGCGGCGCGAGCGTGTGCGCGCTCAGCCGTGCTGCCGCCCGACGGCCTACGAGGACGAAGTGTCCTTTTTGGACACGCACAGTCGCTACCACACGGTCCACGAGCTGTCGGCGCGGGAGTGCGCCTGCGTGTGACCCTACCTCAGCCGGCCCGGAGAGACGGCGGCCACGGCCCCCGCCCCGACGGCACCCACGGTCCCGCCTGGCAAGCCCCGCGACAGACTACCCACGCGCAGGAGATGCCGTCCAGGGCTCAGGACTCTCGCGTTAACTGTACCAAGATAAAGTGTGGAAAATCCAGCCGGGGTTGTGATTCGGTGCTGCGGCATGAGGGCCTACGGGGAGGAGACGCCATTTCCATTGGGAAGAGGGGGACGGGTACCACCTGCGCTATGGTGGGAGGATCCCATTTGCTTTGGGCCCGGGGGAAAGAAAGACGGCTTTTTTCAGGCGTACAGAAAGGAAAGAGGGGCTGAATGGGGGATGTCCACAGGGACCTTCTTTCGCATCTCTCTACAGCCTCTCTTGCCTCTTCCAGGTGAGTCCTAGCCTACTCCCCGGCAAGGTGTCCTTCTGGGTAGGAAAGATTGAGCCACAGTGCAGATGGAAAAACTGAGGTCCAAGTGGTCCAAATCTCCCTCACCCAACAGACCTCTTCGGGCCTGGTCAGCTCCCACCAGGGTGAACTCGGAGCCACTATCTCCTTTCACTAGCTAAAAATATCCACGCTGCCCATCTCCCAGCGGGGGATAGGCCTGGGGCAGGCGCCAGCACCATCTAGCCCAAAACCGGCGCTTGCTGGGGCACAGCTGGGTCCCCAGGGACCTAGGTCCTGGGGCCGTAAAGCCTTTGGCCAGAGCTCGAGGGAGAATTTTCCAGGAGCCCCCGTGGAAGATGGAAAAAGCGTGATGCGGTGTTTAGATTTGCCCATGGTGTCACCTTGATGCTTGGCACGCCCAGAATGGGCACAGGGTGTTGGGTTCCTAGCAGGCAGAGAGGGGTCTGCTGGTCACATGGGCTGAGGAGGGCGGGCAAGAGAGTGGCTGCTGCAAGCCCAGGCCTGGCTCACGGGGAGACCAGATGGAGTGGACTCCTACCCTTCTTCCCCTCAGACTGGGTGGCAGGGGAATGTCTCCAAGGCACAATTGCCCCTTTGCCCAGTTTGTCTAAGGGCACAGTCCCTTCTCTTCCATCCTCCCACTCTAGACTGGGGTTCTCAAAAGAATAGCCCCACCCTCTCCTTTCTGTGTGTCTCCTAGACTGGCCTCCTCGCTGCTGTGCTAAGGACCACCTTCTAGAACCTAAACATTGCGTCCTTCACAGACCCAATCCCCATCCCGATGCTGGGAGACTCAGATCAGATGCTCCACCCAGGGAGGCTCACCCGGCTGGGCAGGAACATCCCAGCTTCCTGCTTTCCAGCCTTCTTTTTTGCCGTTGCGGCAGCTGGACTCACTGGAGTCAGCTAATATGCAGGACTTCCAGGAAAGCCCAAGAGCAGCGCTTGGAGGCCAGGCCCCAGACTGTGGGTGGTCAGCTTGGAAGGTAGTTTCAGAACTTGCTGGCTGGCTGGGGTCCCCACCCACCCCCGCAGTCTTTTGATTCTGAGGTTTGGGGTGGTGGATTCCTACATCATTCGGGCTGACTCAGCCTGGCGGCCATGGCAGAGAGGCCAGAGTTCCCAGCAGCCAAGGAAGCTGAGCCTCAGTTTCCCCATCCTAGAAGGCCGTGAGCCTCAGAGAGGGAAGTTACTCAGCCCAGGACACACCAGGAAAATCAACTGATGCTTGGGCCTGTGGTCCCTGAAGCTTGGCTGCCTTGTGTGTGTGTGTGGGGGGGGGGGCTCCTGGGACCACAGCCTCCCTGTCTCCCACCCAGATCCAACCACAAGGCACTGGCCCACCAGAGAACTGGAACATAAACAAGAGCTGCCCTCGTAGAACCCAGGGCTGGGGTTTTCAGCAGTGCATGCCTCTCTCTTTCTCTCTCTCTCTCAGGACGCAGAGACTGCCACTCACATGGGGCTTAGAACCATGCGCAAACCTCCTTTGGGGGCATGCCCTGCCCCTCCTGTTTCCTTGCAGTGGGTATAGAAGATACACTTGTCTCAGCCTTGCCCTACGTGACCTCCCAGATGGCCCCGCCTCCACTCTCACCTGCTCCGGTGGTCTTCCCACCCCGCCTGAGGGTTTTTCCTTCCTCTGAACACTTGGGGCCGGTCCTTTCTTCCAAGTGCAGGGCCATTCTGGGTGCCGTAGACTTTTGGGCAGGATGTCTGGCTCCCCATCCACTGGATGCTATCAGCCCACCCCATTTGTGACAAGTACAGATGTTGCCAGACCCTGTGAGTGACCCCTGGGGGCAGAGTTGCCCTGGAGGGAGAATGCTGGTGTGGAATAAGGGAGGACACGCCAGTTTTCCTCAGAGCATTCCCATCTGGAAAATGGCGTCAGTATTGCCAGCCTTAATACCCCAGAGGCGGTTCATCAACAGCAGCAGTAATCACAAACCAGTCCACCAGAGCCATCACCAGCGGGCAAGATGCCAAGGCCAGTTCCCCAGGGGCAGCCATAGCCCCTGGCAACTCACCCCTGCCCCCACCAGGTAAATTTCCTAGCAAGCGAGCTCCCAGGGAGGAAAGACCCCTAGCAGCAGAGGTGCCCAGTAGGTGAAGCCCCAGGTAAAGGAGAGCTCCAGCAACCCAGGTCCCCAGATCCTCAGCAGTGCAGGCGCCAGGCTGGCCAGCTCACTGGAACCAAGACGCAATACTGGGCACCGTCTGGTATCTGGGCTCCTGCTGCAGCTTCCAGCAGGCCTTACAGAACATCAGGGCCCAGGAGAAGGACCGAGGCCGCAGTGTCTCCCTCCAGCGGAAGTAGTTCAGGTAGCTGGTGTGGTCCTTGTCCAGTGCTAGCAAGTACTGGGCCAGGTCCTTGGGGCTCCGGAAGTCTTCGACGTGGATGAAGGCTTTGGGTGGCAGGAACTGTTCATAGTTGACCCGGCTGGGGCCCAGGACCACTGGCACAGCCCATGCCTGCAGGGCATTCTTCCACAGCTTCTCTGTGATGTAGTCGGGGTGCAGGGAGTTCTCAAAAGCCAGGTAGAACTTGTACTGGGACAGCTGCTTGGCCATGAGCTTGTAGGGCAGTGGTGTGTGGGAGCGTCCGTACACGTCCACTTGGAGGTGTGGCTTCAGCAGCTCGTAGTACTGCACCCTGGTAGAGTCTTTCCTCCAGTTGGACACCACCCAGGCTACCAGCTTGGTCTTGGCCGAGATGTTGAGCAGTGTCTCCACCGGCTGGCCGGACCACGGCTCGAGCCAGCCGTAGGGCATGAAGATATCTGAGTCCCGGCGGTAGGACATGGTGAGGTTGAAGTAGCCATCTAGGTCCTTCAGTTTCAAGCAGTTGCTGGGCGATTCCATGCTGAACCAAACCCAGCGCTGGCCAGGGGGCCGCGGGGAAGGCGGGAGCTGCATCTGGGGCCGGCTGCTGACCTCCCGGTGGTGCACGAGGACCGCGTCCGCCTGAGGGTACTCGCTGCGGTTGACGGTCAGCTGGCAGTCAGCTGTGCCAGGCCACAGCTCCGAGCAGCGGGACAGAGCCACTGGCTGATTGAACGGCCACGTCCACAGCAGGACACGCAGGGGCAGGCGGGCGGGGGACCCCTCAGTGGCCTGGGAAGGGGCCCCCAGTTCAGAGACCCACGTGGGCTTGGGCTTATCTTGAGACACACGCAGATAAGAGAAGAAGCACAGAGCCAAGAGCAGCTGCAGCAGCAGCCCGGGAAGACAGTGGTGCCAGGAACACTTCAACTTGGCGCAGCCAGGTGGATACATGCTTTGGAGCAGCTGGGAGGAGGGGAGAGTGAACATGGCATCTTTGACAAGAAGGATAATAACACATGCCCACGGACTTCTCTGGTGGTCCAGTGGCTAAGATGCTGAGCTCCCAATGCAGGGGTCTGGGGTTTGATCCCTGATCAGGGAACTAGATCCTGCATGCCACAACTAAAGATCCTGGCATGCCGCAATAAAGATTGATGATGCCTTGTGTCACAACTAAGACCTGGTACAGCCAAATAAATGAATAAATATTAAAAAAAAAAAACCCAATAACACACAGGCCTAGTGGGCAGATGTGGGTTATTTCTATTTTACAGATGAGAAAACTGAGGCTAAGGGACTCAGAGAAAACAGCAGAGCTGGCCCCAGAGTCCACGCTCTCCTACCCACCAGGTCACACAACCTCTTGACCTAGGGTACGTTCCAATGGTTCTCAGGTCCCACCCTGACCGTGACTTTGCCCTTGCCCTTTCTTAGCTTCCCCAGCCTAGGGAGAAGACAGGGCTGGTTACGGGATGCTCCCCAGAACCCTGGAGTTGAGGCTTGGAGCCAAGACTCCGTCTGTGAGGAGTCCAATGGAATTATGTTAGAGGGCTCACCAGGCAGTATACGATTTGGGGGAAAGGACATTCCTGGTGGACAAAACAGCCAATGCCGAGGCCCGAAGGTGACAGTGAACCTGAACAGTTTGCGGGGAGAGGACAGGAAGTGCTCAGGGAATAAGCACTCAAGACACCTCCCATCCCTGGTCATGCACTAGGGGATCCTGGGTGTCTCTTGGTCCACTCCCTGGTCCTTTCTGTTCCTGCAAGCTGTCACAAAGCCCTCCCAGTCTCCAGATCGCAACCGCGGGAGCAAAACTCTAGGACCTTAGCCCTGTGCCCCTCCACTTCCTGCGGCCATGGAGTCGCCCTTTTTACAGATGAGAAAACAGAGGTTCAGAGCAATAGGTATGTCTCTTGCCCCAAAACACAAAGCTGGAGCACTTATGATCCAGAATCTGAACTCTTCTCTTTTAATGTAATTGCAAACTCCTTTCCCGTATTCAGACTGGCTAGTTGTCCGTGACTGTAGTTTCAGTCTGTCTGCCCCCTGATCCCCTCTCTCAGTGCCTACCGTCTTACCTGGGTTTCTCTTACCTTGGACGCGGAGTCTCTCTTCATGGCTGTTACAGCAAAGCGCAGCCGCTGCTCCTTACCCCACCTCGGCCACCGCCCCTGACCTCGGGCGCGGGGTAGCTGCTCTTGGCTGCGCTCGTGCACCGTCACAGCCGCCGCTGCACTCAAATTCTGAAAGAGATGTGCATACCAGATCACCTGACCTGCCTCTTGAGAAACCTACATGCAGGTCAGGAAGCAACAGTTAGAACTGGACATGGAACTGGTTCCAAATAGGAAAAGGAGTACGTCAAGGCTGTATATTGCCACCCTGTTTATTTAACTTATATGCAGAGTACATCATGAGAAATGCTGGGCTGGAGGAAGCACAAGCTGGAATCAAGATTGCCGGGAGAAATATCAATAAACTCAGATATGCAGACAACACCACCCTTATGGCAGAAAGTGAAGAGGAACTAAAGAGCCTCTTGATGAAAGTGAAAGAGGAGAGTGAAAAAGTTGACTTAAAGCTCAACATTCAGAAAACTAAGATCATGGCATCTGGTCCCATCACTTCATGGGAAATAGATGGGGAAACAGTGGAAACAGTGTCAGACTATTTTCCTGGGCTCCAAAATCACTGCAGATGGTGATTGCAGCAATGAAATTAAAAGACGCTTACTCCTTGGAAGGAAAGTTATGACCAACTTAGATAGCATATTAAAAAGCGGAGATGTTACTTTGCCAACAAAGGTCCGTCTAGTCAGGGCTATGGTTTTTCCAATGGTCACGTACGGATGTGAGAGTTGAACTATGAAGAAAGCTGAGCACCGTAGAATTGATGCTTTTGAACTGTGGTGTTGGAGGAGACTCTCGAGAGTCCCTTGGACTGCAAGGAGATCCAACCAGTCCATCCTAAAGGAGATCAGTCCTGGGTGTTCACTGGAAGGACTGCTGTTGAAGCTGAAACTCCAATACATTGGCCACCTGATGCGAAGAGCTGACTCATTGGAAAAGACCCTGATGCTGGGAGAGATTGGGGGCAGGAGGAGAAGGGGACAACAGAGGATGAGATGGTTGGATGGCATCACTGAGTCGATGGACATGGGTTTGGGTGGACTCCGGGAGTTGGTGATGGACAGGGAGGCCTGGCGTGCTGCGGTTCACGGGGTTGCAAAGAGTCAGACACAACTGAGCGACTGAACTGAACTGAACTGAACTGAACTCCCGTGTTGAACGTGGAGCTCCAGTTTAAAGCCTGGTGCTGTCTGCAAGAACGTTTTGCTATCGTGGAAATGTTATTTGTCTGCCCCATATGGTGCACCCCTCTGGCTCTCGAGCCCTTGAAATATAGCAGTTGTGTTGGATAAACTGTTAGCATTAAGCTAAATTAAATTAAGAAAAGCTTCCCTATTCTGTACATTGAAGACAATATCAAGATAAAAAGTAAAAACATTGGTGGGTCCAGTGGTTTAAAACTCTGCACTTCCACTGCAGGGGGCATGGGTTCAAACCCTGGTCAGGGAACTAGATCCCACATGCCCAAGATGAGGAAAAAAAAAAAAACAACCAAATGTCCACCTGCCCCCGCAACAAAACTCCACCAAAATCAGTCTCTGATAGCCAATTCAACAACTGGAAATCCTGACAGAATATTTGGGACATCTTGGAGGGGTAAATCTGCTCCCACAGGACATTTTTACAAAGTCTAATTAAAGATCAAGGATCTACAATGAAAAGTGAGTGTCTGGATTATGTGTGCTATTGGTGTAAGATACACTCCAGTTTCTAAGACTTGGGCTTCCCCAGTGGCTCAGCGGTAAAGAATCTGCCTACAGTGCAGGAGACACAGGAGACATGGGTTCGATCCTGGGTCAGGAAGATCCCCTGGAGGAGGAAATGGCAATGCACTCCAGTATTCTTGCCAGAAAAATCCCACAGACTGGTGGGCTACAGTCCATAGGGTTGCAAAAAGTTGGACACAACTGAGTGACTGAGCACACATTCCAAGACTTGGGATGCAAATGGGACTAAAATTATCTCAATACTTCTGTCGATTTCACATTGGAATAATACTAGCTTGGAACTGCCCTGGCGGTCCAGTGGTTAGTACTCTGCACTCTCACTGCTGAGGGCAAGGGTTCCATCCCTGGTCGGGGAACTAAGATACCACATGCTGTGCAGTACAGCTCAGTTCAGTTCAGTCGCTCAGTCGTGCAACCCCATGAATCGCAGCACGCCAGGCCTCCCTGTCCATCACCAACTCCTGGAGTCCACCCAAACCCATGTCCATCGACTCGGTGATGCCGTCCAGCCATCTCATCCTCTGTCGTCCCCTTCTCCCCCTGCCCCCAATCCCTCCCAGCGTCAGGGTCTTTTCCAATGAGTCAGCTCTTCGCATCAGGTGGCCAATGTATTGGAGTTTCAGCTTCAACATCAGTCCTTCCAGTGAACACCCAGGACTGATCTCCTTTAGGATGGACTGGTTGGATCTCCTTGCAGTCCAAGGGACTCTCGAGAGTCTCCTCCAACACCACAGTTCAAAAGCATCAATTCTTTGGCCCTCAGCTTTCTTCACTGTCCAACTCTCACATCCATACATGACCATGGAAAAACCATAGCCTTAACTAGACAGACCTTTGTTGGCAAAGTAATGTCTCTGCTTTTAAATATACTATCTAGGTTGGTCATAACTTTCCTTCCAAGGAATAAGCGTCTTTTAATTTCATTGCTGCAATCACCGTTTGCGGAGATTTTGGAGCCCAGAAAAATAAAGTCTGACACTGTTTCCCCATCTATTTCCCATGAAGTAATGGGACCGCCATGATCTTAGTTTTCTGAATGTTGAGCTTTAAGTCAACTTTTTCACTCTCCTCTTTCACTTTCATCAAGAGGCTCTTTAGTTCCTCTTCACTTTCTGCCATAAGGGTGGTGTTGTCTGCATATCTGAGGTTATTGATATTGGCAATCTTGATTCCAGCTTGTGCTTCCTCCAGCCCAGCATTTCTCATGATGTACTCTGCATATAAGTTAAATAAGCAGGGTGACAACATACAGCCTTGACATACTCCTTTTCTATTTGGAACCAGCCTGTTGTTCCATGTCCAGTTCTAACTGTTGCTTCCTGACCTGCATATTGGTTTCTCAAGAGACAGGTCAAATGGTCTGGTATTCCCATCTCTTTCAGAATTTTCCACAGTTTATTGTGATCCACACAGTCAAGGGCTTTGGCATAGTCAATAAAGCAGAAATAGATGTTTTTTTGGAACTCTCTTGCTTTTTCAATGATCCAGCAGATGTTGGCAATTTGATCTCTGGTTCCTCTGCCTTTTCTAAAACCAGCTTGAACATCTGGAAGTTCATGGTTCACGTATTGCTGAAGCCTGGCTTGGAGAATTTTGAGCATTACTTTACTAGCGTGTGAGATGAGTGCAATTGTGTGGTAGTTTGAGCATTCTTTGGCATTGCTTTTCTTTGGGATTGGAATGAAAACTGACCTTTTCCAGTCCTGTGGCCACTGCTGAGTTTTCCAAATCTGCTGGCATATTGAGTGTAGCACTTTCACAGGATCATCTTTCAGGATTTGAAATAGGTCAACTGTCTATGGCCATACCACCGTGAACGCGCCCGATCTCGTCTGAAATAGCTCAACTGGAATTTCATCACCTCCACTAGCTTTGTTTGTAGTGATGCTTTGTAAGGCCCACTTAACTTCCAGGCCCACATCCATTCTAAGATGTCTGGATGTAGGTGAGTGATCACACCATCATGATTATCTGGGTCGTGAAGATCTTTTTTGTACATTTCTTCTGTGTATTCTTGCCACCTATTCTTATTATCTTCTGCTTCTGTTAGATCCATACCATTTCTGTCCTTTATCGAGCCCATCTTGGCATG